GGAAGTGGCGCTGTAGCTCAAGTGGTAGAGCGCTCGCCTTGAGCTGAAGAGCTGAGGGACAGCGCCCAGGCCCAGAGTTCAAGCCCCATGACCAACAACAACAAAAAAAAAAAAGATTAGTAAGTAGTCCTGTATAAATTCTTATATTTTCTATGAGTCTTAGAGTTGATAAAAACTGAGTTTGAGAAGATTTGATTGGCTGAAATGTGTTTCATAGAGGGAAAACAAATTTCAGGTATATTTGACCTAGTGTAAGTCACCCAAATACTTTGAATTTTAAAGGAACTATGAAAAATAGACAAAAATATTTTTTTTAGTTAAGTGGTATTATAAACAAAAATGTTTTAGAAAAAGTAGATATTTTTGAGGAACATATGCCCAGGAGAAAAACAAGAGGTTTTGTTTTCTTTTTTGTTTGTGAAAAGTTCAGAAGTTTTAGATATAAATAAATGACATGATTTTAAATTAATTGCAATGTTTTATTCTCAGGATGATGCCAACAATGATCCGCAGTGGTCTGAGGAACAGTTAATAGCAGCAAAGTTTTGCTTTGCTGGACTTGATATAGGCCAGACTGAAGTGGATATCATGAGTCATGCTACACAAGCTATTTTTGAAATACTGGAGAAAGCTTGGTTGACCCAGAACTGTACACTGGTTGATATGAAGGTATAGATAAAATAAGGAGATTTGAAAGTCAAGGTTATAACCAGAAATGTAGTTTAGAAGTATTTGTTTTTAATTTCTCTAGATTGAATTTGGTGTTGATATAACCACCAAAAAGATTGTTCTGGCTGATGTTATTGATAATGACTCCTGGAGACTCTGGCCATCAGGAGATCGGAGCCAGCAGAAAGACAAACAGGTATGTATTGTTTTGTAAGAGTATTTGCAAGATCATGATGGCATAAAGGAGAGAGAAAAAGGCACTTAATCCTTCTGATATGAACCTGACTTGTTAATTGCTATTTAAAGCTTAATATCTACTACATCTTGATGAGTATACTATGAATAATACTTTAAACGTGACAAGCAAATTTCTCATTATCTTCGTAGCCTCTCACAGCAATGAAAACTAAGGCTCTAAGAGGATAATTGTCTTCCCAATTACAAGAGTAAGAAAGTGACAGGCTGCAACTGTATGCAAAGTCTTTTGGATCTTGCTCTATTTCTGTTCTTTCTTACAAACTGGGGGTGAGATCGTCTGTATAATTAATACATTAGAATTCTCAAGGCAGTATTTATAGTTGGTATTGTAGAATTATTTAACCTTAAATGAAAATAAAACTTCTCTACAGACCATTCTTTAATTCAGAAAATGAATTTGTAGACTGAGATGTATCTTCACTTTTTACTATATAAAGCTGTCATTATCCCTTATCAAAATTCAGAAAACAGTGTCATATAACAAAAGGTACTTGTTTTCTAACTTTTTTATTCTTTTCTAGTCTTATCGTGACCTCAAACTAGTAACTCCTGAAGGACTTCAGATGGTAAAGAAAAATTTTGAATGGGTTGCAGAGAGAGTAGAGGTAATCCTTCTACAGTAAATCTGTAGAGTATCATTCATTTCTTTTTTAAGAAAATTTTATTTCAAAATGGATATCCCTGTAATCCCAGCTATTCCAAATGTTGATCTAGGAGGAGTCTCAAGTTCAAAGCTGCTCTGGGCTACTTAGTGAATAAGACTTTGTCTCAGTAAAGAGACACTTTCAGCCAGGTGCCGGTGGCTCACGCCTGTAATCCTAGCTACTCAGAAGGCTGAGATCTGAGGATCATGGTTCAATGCCAGGCCTGGCAAGAAAGTCCGTGAAACTCTTATCTCCAATAAACCACCAGAAAACCGGAAGTGGCGTTGTAGCTCAGTGGTAGAGTGCTAGCCTTGAGCTGAAGAGCTGAGGGACAGCGCTCAGGCCCAGAGTTCAAGCCCCACGACCAACCAAAAAAAAAAAAAAAAACACTTAAAGAAAATATCCCAGCTATATTCCTCCCAGATCCTGGAAAAATTTTCTCATTTACCTTTCCATTGCTACTCGGTGTTAATGGCAGGAGATGGATGAAACTTCATGCAGTTGTTTTCTTTTTATATATATATATATATATATATACTCAAAGGCCTTGTCTTCCACCTTCTATACAACTGTTAAAGTCATTTTAATTTTTATGCTATTATTATTGTTCATGTAATTCCTTTATGAATTGAATGTGACTTGTGGTTACCTGAGGATTACAGTCACCTTTTAGAACATTTCCGTGAGAACACTCATTGTGAATTCCAAGCAGCAAACTTAGATTTCTAACATAATCTCATTTGACTGATCATGCCTTAAAATACTGAGTGGAATGTACTAAAATCCTTGGTGATAGCAGAGAAAAACCTTATAATGAAAGTTTTTTTTTATCATTTCTAAGTATTAATTGAAAGATCTGAGCATTTCGTTTTATTAGCAAATATAATTTGTCTAGTGAAGTTTGTGTACATGCTAACACCAGGGCATGGATTTAGGTCCTAATGTTCACTTGGCTTCCTTGTTCATGTTTGGTGCTCAACCACTTGAGCCTTCTGCATGGCTTTTTTTTAATAATTTTTTTTTGAGATTAGGTGATTACATAAATTTCAGTACTGTGGAATAGTGATACTTAAAGTCACAAACATATTTTAACCTTCACAAGGCAATTGTCATTATCATGGTCTATAAAATTTGTGAATTCTATAAGCTTTGACAATACAATTATTTCTTCCACTCAGGTGATACTTAGATTTCTTTCCTTTTGCTTAATGTAGCTGTTCCCTCTTTCCCTCTAATTCCCTCCCTCCCATCACTGCCTTTAAGTTGCTTAGTTCATTTTCATCAATGTCCAGTACAGCTGATGGGCCCTTCCGTTGTATGTTTTCCCATTTCCCTCTATCTCCCCTCATGTGCACTTATATATGCCATATATCTGGTCAAGAACATGGAGTCATTTAGCAATGATACAACAAAATGAGTGGAAGTCCTTTGTTTCTCGGGTCCTATTTACTTTGTCGTATCTCCTTGCATTTTGGCTTTAGCATCCACATATCAGGGAGACCATGTGCCATTTGTCTTTTTTTTTTTTTTTTTTTTGTCGGTCATGGGGCTTGAACTCTGGGCCTGGGTGCTGAGCCAGAGCACCACTTCTGGCTTTTTCTTCTTATGTGGTGCTGAGGAATCAAACCCAGGGCCTCATGCATGCAAGGCAAGCACTCTACCACTGAGCCACCTTCCCAGCCCCCCATTTGTCTCTTTGCTCTTGGCTTAACTCACTCAAAATGATTTGCTTAGTTCAGCATGGCTTTTTGCCAAGTAAGGATGGAGTTTCTCAGACTTTATCTTTTGGCTGCTTCAAATTATGATCTTATACTTTTCGGCCTCCTGAATAGTTAGAATTACAAATGTGAGCCACTGGTGCCCAGCTTGTAAGCTGGGTGCTGGTGGCTTACGCCTGTAATCCTAGCTACTAAGGAGGCTGAGATCTGAGGATCATGGTTCAAAGCCAGCCCGGGCAGGAAAGTCTGTGAGACTCTTATCTCTAATAAATCACTAGGAAAAAAAAAAAACAGAAATGGTGTTGTGGCTCAATCGGTAAGAGGACTCGCCTTGAGCTGAAGAGCTGAGGGATAGTTCCCAGGCCCAGAGTTCAAGCCCCATGACTGACCACAAAAAAAAAAAAAAAAAAAAATTTCACCTATAGCCAGGTGTGGTAGCACATGATTCTAAATGAGAACACTCAGAAGGCTGAAGTAGGAGGATCAAAAGTCTAAGGCCTTCCTGAACTACATACTCAACAACAAAAAAGGTGCCTTACCTATTACATTTTAGTTAAGTAGACCACTTCTTTTTTATGTAGAAGTTGTATTTTTGTTAAAATACATCCTTTTGTTTTAAATTTGGTTTGTTAAGAAAGTATCTGTCCAGATGTAATTTTGCTGCAAACTTTATTCTATGATAAAAAGAACTATTCTTGTGTACTACATCCTATGTTTATTCACTTTTGTTTTTGTGTTCTTTCTCATGGTTATGCTTCTCTTTTCCAGTTACTCCTGAAATCAGACAGTCAGTGCAGAGTTATAGTATTGATGGGTTCAATTTCTGATCTCAGTCATTGTGAGAAAATTAAAAAAGCTTGTGGAAATTTTGGAATTCCATGTGAACTTCGAGTAACATCTGCTCATAAAGGACCAGATGAAACCCTGAGGATTAAGGCAGAGTATGAAGGTAAGCTTCAAGTAACTAGAGCATTTCACGTATTTCTAATTTTGCCAAAGAATATGTATTTTAAACTAATATCAAAATGAATTTTTCCTGTTTCTGAGAATTATTTGATGTGCTATACTTTCATGACACTCACACCAAAAGATCATAAGGTATTTCAAGATCTTAAAAAAGAATAAATTCCGGGCTGGGAAGTTGGCTCAGTGGTAGAGCGCTTGCCTTGCATGCCTGAGGCCCTGGGTTCGATTCCTCAGCACCACATAAGCAAAAAGAAAAAAGTCAGAAGTGGCACTGTGGCTCAAGTGGTGGAGCGCTAGCCTTGAGCTGAAGAACTGAGGGACAACGCCCAGGCCCAGAGTTCAGGCCCCACGACTGGACCCAAAAAAAAAAAAAAGAATAAATTCCAAGTACAAACATAGAAGGAAACGATGAGCTGGAGAACTTTGAGGAGCTCTGGTGTCTTAACCTAATAAACTTCCCCTCCTGTCCACCCGCCAGCATTGTATCTCAGTGCAAACAGTGTCGTCTGCACAATATCTGAGGCAGAAGCAGCAGAATCTTTGGTGTCTTTAATGGCCAGTCTTTGCTGGGAGGCAGAAATTGAGGCATAGTTTCAGGTTATAATAACAACAATAAAGTAGTTATGAGATAGCATTAAGTTCAGGTATAGATTAACCACCAAATATTTCTCAACTTGTAAAAATGAGGATTGACTATTTTCTCTAAAGGTAACTGCTATGAGGAGTATATTCAGTTATTTGGGAGGACAGTGGTAGTGTTTCAGACTCCTTCAGTAAACTAATGACAGCTAGAATCTTTTTCTCCAAAACAAATTGAAATTTGAAATGTGAGCCATTCAAGGTGGTGTGTGCCTATAATCCCAGTGCTCTGGAAAATCATGAATTCAGAGCAATCCTCTTCCCAAAGAAATGCAAAATTTTATATTCTAGCTTACAAATACTTGCTTTAGGAATCAAGGTACAACTCAAGAACTCGCCCTAAGCCTTCAATCATCATGACTCCTTGCACAAGGACCACTCAGCAGAAGATCACTGTTAAGTTGATACGATTTTGAACAGCCTAAGCAATAGAAGAAGGTCCTTGGAGCCATTTCCTCTCTAACCCACTGGCATTGCCTTTATTCTATAAATCTCAAAAGCAGTCAAACCTATTCTAGCTAGCTAAAATTACTTGGTAAACAGTAAGTGACAGAATGAATCATATATTTTGAATATATGTATAACAGTAGCATTTTAATACTATTTTTCAGAGACGATTGTGCAAGAAATGAAGGATTTGATATATTAAGGATTTTATATTCTTTTTTAGTGTTTAACATGATTTTAACTTGTCATTGCTCTAGGAGATGGCATTCCTACTGTGTTTGTGGCAGTGGCAGGCAGAAGCAATGGCTTGGGCCCAGTAATGTCTGGAAACACTGCGTATCCTGTCATCAGCTGTCCTCCCCTCACACCAGACTGGGGAGCTCAGGATGTGTGGTCATCTCTTCGGCTGCCTAGTGGTGAGACACATCAAAAAAATTTTTTTTGTTACAAAAATTTCAAACATGAAACATACATAAACAGAATAATGAAGTCTCACATGTCCATTACTTGACTTTGTTTACCATTTTGCTGCATTTATAGCTCCATTCTTCTAGATTATTTTAAAGCACATTTTAGTACTTCATACTTACATGTACATCTCCAAGAGATACGGGCTGTTTTTTCTTTTGTTATGGGGCTTGGACACTGCCCTAAACTTTTTTTGCAAAAGGCTAGTGCTCTACTACTTTGAGCCACAGCTCCATTTCCATTTTACTGTGGTTAATTGGAGATAAGAGTCTCATGGACTTTGCTGCCTGGATTGGCTTAGAACCATGATCCTCAGATCTCAGCCTCCTGAGTAGCTAGGATTACAGGCATGAACCATGAGTGTCTAGCTCTGTTTTGTTTATGTAAGTTACACTCACACTGTGTTGACCTTCATTTGGGGAGGAAGTGTGCTGGGGATTGAACCTAGAGCTTCATGTATGCTAGCAAGCACTCATGACTATATCACATCCCTAGATGCTATATTTTCATTACCTGTCTGGTTGATTTCCCTCTTTTCTTTCTGAACCATTAGGTGTTGGCTGCTCAACCATACTATCTCCAGAAGGTTCAGCTCAGTTTGCTGCTCAGATATTTGGATTAAACAACCATTTAGTATGGGCCAAACTTCGAGCAAGCATATTGAACACGTGGATTTCCTTGAAGCAAGATGACAAGAAAATCAGAGAATGTAATTTATAAGAAAAAAAAAAGTTATTCATGAATGAAATGTTTTTTCATTCTTCTGAAAACAATAAATTCCTAGTTTCATAGCCAAAAAGAAGCAAGGTAAAAAGATGATTTTAAATGAATGGAAATGGTTTACTAGCATATAAGAATTTCTAGACACAAGGATTAGTAAAATGGCTATTAGCATTTACTATATAGGTAGCAAAATTATTATAGCATTTTAGAATTAATCTTCCCACTCTACATGGTTATTGTTAGCTAACAGGTAACATACCTGAATCAAATATATTTTGTAAATGCAAATGTCCTTTTCTAAAGATCTGAAGTTATTACCCGCCCTTTTGTGTCTTCATGCAAATTTTGGAGACTGAAATGCTTTCAGTTTCTGGTCTTCAAATTTAAAGGTTGTGCAGTTTTATTTTTCAAGGACCCTTTGCATATTCCAGGAAAGCATGCACAAGGCCTTGGGTTCAATCCCCAGCAACATAGAAAAAAGGAAGCTGAGATTGATGTTCGGAGAAACAAGTGAGGAAACACAGTGAGTGGAAAGGGGACTTTTCTGAGATCTTTTTTTGTTATCAGTACAGTTTTCCTTGGAAAAAGTAGTCCCTTGCCATCCTAAATGAGAAACTAAATAAATCTTACTTAACTATGTAACTTGGTATGGTGGGGTGCCTCTGTGTAGATCATAAACTTCTAATTCTGATAAGACATTTTTGGCTGTATCAGCAGTCATCAGCCTACAATCATGGTCAGAAACGTCCTCTCAGTTGATAACCATAATTTATTTTTATGCTAATATGTATCTGGTCTTGGACCTAGCAAAACTTGCTAGGAATTTTTAATGAGCTCATATGTGTTACTTAAGTCTTGACTTGCATAAGCTAGGCTTTTGTCCAGATTTATTCTGTTAGTGTTTCCTTCATTTTTCTTTGACCTATTTATCATGTCCACACACATATATTAGTTGAGTAACCTCATATACTAAGCAAACTGAGTCCCTGACTAGCTCTCCAGTCCCTCTCTTGCTCTGTTGCTTCTCTTTCCCTCTCTCTTTTTTTGCCATTTCTGGGGCTTTGACTTTGGGCCTGGACACTGTCCCTGAGCTTCTTTTTGCTCAAGGCTAGCACTCTACCACTTGAGTCACAGTGCCACTTCTGGCTTTTTGTGTTGATACGGTACTGAGGAATTGAACCCAGGGCTTCATGCATGCAAGGCAACTAAGCCACATTCCCAGCCTCCTTAGCTCTTTCTACTTAAACCACCATCTGCAGCTTTTTGCTGGTTAGTCTTTTCTGTCCAAGCTGGCTTCAAACTGTAATCCTCAGAGCTCCTACACTCTTGACAGCTAGGATTTTAGGTGTAAGCCATTGGTACCCTGCTGAAATTGCTTTACTTTTATTGGTGTTTATGCATTTGTCTTCTTATGCTTCAGCTACTTGGGGTATTAATCTCATGTCTGGTACAGTAAAATAAAAATAGTGGAACAAAATTTCCTTCAGCAATAAAAAGGAAGGATTTAACTCCTTATTCTGGTCTCAACATCTCTTTTCCTAAATTTTCTCCATCGAACTTATATTTATTGTTTACCCTCTCCCAACTAAAAAATACATTCCACAGTACACTGAGACATCCTTGTTAATTTTATCCCAGCAATTAGTATAATGCCAAACAACAGCATATACATCACAATGAAATACTAAATAAACAGAAGTACAAATTTCCAGAGGTCTGGAAACCTAGAACTACGTAGAACTTAATATCAGAGGAATACTTCCTGCAAGAGTATGCTGTAGCTTGTTTCAGCTTTGCCACCAGCCTTTTAACACCATTGGCAAGTGTTATATTTAGGAGGTGGAACGTATTTGAAGAAACTAAGGTCACTGGAACTGTGCCCTTGAAGGATATATTAGGACCCTCTGTCCTTCTACTTTGTAGTCCCAATGAGGTGAGCAGCTTTGCTCAGCCATGTACTTTTTTTTTTTGTCGTTCATGGGGCTTGAACTCTGGGCCTGGGCGCTGTCCCTCAGCTCTTCAGCTCAAGGTTAGTGCTCTACCACTTGAGCCACAGTGCCACTTCTGGTTTTCTGGTGGTTTATTGGAGACTGGAGTCTCACAGTCTTTCCTGCCTGGGATGGCTTTGAACTGAGATCCTCAGATCTCAGCCTCCTGAGTAGCTAGGATTACAGGCATGAGCCACCAGTGCCCGGCTCAGCCATGTACTTTCTTCCAAGAGGTTCTGTGTAGCACATGTCCAAAATCAGAGCCAACTTAACCACGGACTGAAAATGAGCCGTAATAAACCTTTCCTCCTTAGAAATTGGTTATCGCAGATATTTTATCACAGTGACAGAAACCTCTGAATTGAAAAGGTGGCAAGCAAAATCTAGATTACAAAAGGCCTTACATTCTAGTTTATAGTATGGATTTTATAATTAGGGTGGTAGAGTGTTATTACATAAAGAGTTTAAGAAACCAATCTGGGTTTTTTTTTGTTGTTTACCAAGTGAAGAGGACTCAGAAGGCAGAATGTATGAGCCCAGAGGGGGCCCCTCAGAATGAACTTGGTAGTACCTTAATCTTGGACTTCCCAGCCTCGGCATTGTGAGATAGATATCAAGCCACTGGTTTAGAAGACTCCTGATTCAAAAATAGTTTAAACCCACATGAATCATTTTCATCACAAACATTAAGCTGAACAAGTAGAAATCCATCAGAGAGGAATTTCTACAACCTATAAAGTAAATTAGGCCACAGTGATAAGTGCCAATCCTTACATGAAGTCAAGTTAGGACTACTAAAGCATTGGCTTTAGGGGTCATAAACATCTTTAGAGAATACAGTGGAATCTATAGAACCCTTTCTCAAAAACTCACACAAGGGCAGGGAATGTAGCTTAGTGGTAGAGTGCTTACCTATCATGCATGAAGCCTTGGGTTTGATTCCTGGGTACCACATAAACAGCAAAAGCCAGAAGTGGTACTGTGACTTAAGTGGTAGAGTACTAGCCTTGAATAAAAGAAGCTTAGGGACAGTGCCCAGACCCTGAGTTCAAGCCCTGGGACTGGCAAAAATAAATAAACACAAAATTTTGACTATAAAGCGTCATCTGGAACAGCTCTGAAATCTAGATGTAATTGACTTGAAACTAATGACAGTTCCTGTCATGATAGGTTCCTGTTATGAAAGCTCACATATTTACTGGTTCACAAGGATTATATCTTTTTTTTTTTTTTGTCGGTTGTGGGGCCTGAACTCTGGGAGTGGGTACCGTCTCCCAGCTCTTCAGCTCAAGGCTCTGCCACTTGAGCCACAGCGCCAACTTCCAGCTTTTTCTGTTCATGTGGTGCTGAGGAATCAAACCCAGGGCCTCATGCATGCAAGGCAAGCACTCTAACACAGCCAATTTCCCAGCCCAGATTATATCCTCTTACACCTAGACTTAGTCTACTTCAGTCCAAACATTTGTTAGTCAGGAGTGTTTTTATGAGTGAGATAAAGTTTTGAACTCAGGATCTTCATGCCTCCATTAGAAATGAAAGGTGAAAAGGAGTTATCTAGATTGTTAAGATAAAGTGGCAGGAATTAGCAAAGTCCTGTCTCGAGTAAGCTACTCAGGAAGATGTGTAACATTAAGTGTACTGGGGGGTGTCAAGCACATTGGAATGTACTTGTAATCCAGAACCCCAGAGACCGACATGGGGAGGGGGAGGATCATGAGTTTAAGCACAACCTAGGCCATACAGCCAAACTCTAAAATATGTAACACATATATAACACTACATACTGTATGATACATATGGTGACAATATTACTGTATAGGTATCTATCCCTTTCCTGTATACAACAAAAATACCTCAACACTTAAGGTTTTACAGGAACCCAGAATGCCTTATGTCTGTCCTGTTTACTGTGTGCCTGCCAGATGCATGAATTATCTTTTACCCCAGAACAATTATATTTCATGCTTAATTTACAGTGGGCAAAATGGAATCCAGGAAGGAAATTGTGGCCGGGCGCCAATGGCTCACTCCTGTAATCCTAGCTTCTCATGAAGCTGAGATAGGAAGATCACCATTGGAAGGCAGCCTGGGCAGCAAAGTGCATGAGACCTCACAAGGGGGAAAAAAGCCAAAAGTGGAGTTGTGGTTCAAGCGGTAGCGTGCTAACCTTGCGCACACATACAAGTTCAGGGATACTGCTCAGGCTCTGAATTCAAACTCTGGGACCGTCCCCCCCCCCGCCCCCCCTCCAAATGTTTACTGTCAGTCATCTAGTCAGTCCCAAAACCAGGTTCAGAACTTTGACTTGTTACCATCACAGCCTGACTGGCCATGTTTGAAGTGAAAGATGCAAACAAGAGGGAGGGAGGGGGTAAATCTAAGGGGTTTTCATCAAATACGACTTCACTCTATGCATGCACCCTTCGCGACCAGAACGTCCTCGGCCTTCCCCAGAACCAACCCCAGCTCTCCTAAATCCCTACAGTTCCAAGTGCTGGTGTGTTCCCGATTACCAAGGAGCCGGGCCCCACGCACTGACTCCCTGCTTTGTAAACTAGCTCGCAAAGGCCGTGGCGCCACTGGAGAGTGACACGAGTCCGTGAGTCCCTTCTAGTTCCCCGGCGGGGACAGACGCCGTCCAGGCAGCCCCCCACCCGGGACTACAGGTTCCATTCTCGCCTCGAGACCGGAAGATTGTGGTTTCCGACGCTACCCCGGGGGTGTAGAAGCTCCGGACTCCAACCACGTTGCTCAGCAACCACCAGCTTCCTCCTCCGCTAGGCCAACTAGAGAATCCGCTTCCGGGCCAGAGGTCGTCCCCGCCCCGCCCCTCGTCTCCTCCAAGATGGCGAGCAGTGGCAGCAGTGGGGGGGCATCGGTGCCGGCCTTGTGGAGTGAGGTGAACCGTTATGGCCAGAACGGCGACTTCACGCGCGCTCTCAAGACCGTCAACAAGAGTGAGTGTCGGGGGGGCGGGGGCGCCGAGGAGGGTCTGGGCGGCGGGAGAATGTCGCTGGTTTCCGGCGCGCGGGACCCCCTCGGAGCCGCTGCGCCGAGCGGGAGATCCGGGCGTCGTCCCGGCCGCGGCCCGTGGCCCGTGGCGGGGAGGGAGCGAGGCGCGGCCGCTTGGCGGGGGCCCCCGGGTTGCAGGTGGCCGAGAGCCACGTGGACTTCCCGCTTTCCTGGCCGCGGGACGCGCCGGACAACTTTAAAGAGACCGAAGAACCCGCACTCTTGCCAGCTGTTTTCCCCACTTGATTTCTTCCTCGCTGCCTTGTTTTAGAAAGGCCAATACGACACCAGATCGCCTCTTCCTCGTCCTCCTGAGCGAGGCGATCGAGTCAGCATTGTGGCCACAACTTGTTCTCTTGGGCTGGGCCTGGGCCACGTAATTGACCAGCTGGTGCTGAGCTGGTTCTAAGTTACGCAGAACGGATCCGGGCAGAGGGCAGGGCCCATCCATAGGTCAGACCTGCTAGAGCCAGTTGCAGAATCACCCCGATGTCGTTTCACTGGAGAACGGACAGGGGAACGCACGTACATTTGAATTACGTCGGGAAAGTTTGGCCTGCTCTTTTGCTGGTTTAGTGATCATTTCAGCGTTTTAGTGCCTTCAACGTGAGGTTCACGGCGTTTGTCTTTTATCCTTTAACCACGAATGCTAATACGGCCGTGTGCTTTAAATGCTCAGTTGTTCGGAGTTCTCTGCTAAAGTCGCAACCTGTATATGTTAGGTTTGGGGATGTAATTAAGCATTTCAACTGTGCAAAGCGGGAGAAACATAAAAAGTATGGCAGTGACACACGGGCTATACAGATACTTTTCAGCCACCCGTTGCTGAGTTAATGTGCAAGTGGTGGCTTTGACTGACACATATGCACCTTTTTTTTCATCTCAAGGAGCTTCATATTAAAAAATTAAGTAGTTATACAAAGGACTGTAGTTATACAGTTCCATAACTATGATCTTGGCCATTTTGACACTGAATATCTGTTAGCGTTGAAACCTCGCTACCTGGGTACTTCTGAGTCAGGGTGAAAAGGAAAAGTTTGAGTGGCTGTTTTTGTTTTGTTTGGGAACATTGCTGGCAAGATTATGTTTGCATTGTCCTTTTTTTGGGGGGGGGAGTCCCTTCGTGGGGCCTGAAATCTGGGCCTGGGCACGCTTTCCCTCAGCTCTTCAGCTCAAGGCTAGCGCTCTACCACTTGAGCCACAGCACCACTTCCGGCTTTTTTCTTTTTGCTTATGTGGTACTGAGGAATCGAACCCAGGGCCTCATGCATGCAAGGTAAGCGCTCTACCACTGAGCCACCTTCCCTTCCCAGCTCGCATTGTCCTTTTTTTTTTCCCCTTGGTCAGGAGGCTTGAACTCTGGGCCTGGGCGCAGTCCCTTAGCTCTTCAGCTCAAGGCTAGTGCTCTATCTCTCATGCCACAGCACCACTTCCGGCTTTTTCTGTTTATGTAGTGCTAAGGAACTGAACCCAGGCCCTCATGCTTGTGAGTCAAGCACTCTACAACTAAGCCACCTTCCCAGCCCCTGCATTGTACTTTATAGTTTCTAAGATTTTCCAAGAACATTGTCAATTCATCTTCTTGATAACCTCGTGAAAAAGTTATGCTTTTATGCTCATTTTGTAGCTCAGAACACTGAAATTTTGCTATTAAGTTATTTTCCCGAAAACTCCCAAGGAGTTAGTGGCAATCTTGCACTACACCTAAAGTATCTTATAATCTTACCATTTAGAGGATAAAGAGGATTGAGAATTTGAGACCAGCTTTGGTTAGGTTGCATAGAAAGACCCTGTCTTTAAAAAAAAGTAAAAAGTTATTTGCTTCCAACTTTCACATGAACTTTTCTTTCTCTGTGAAGTAATAAAATGTATATTTGCATCATAAGATTATGAACCCAAGGCCTTGAATTATAGCAAGCCCTCTACCAGTAAGCTTTATCCTCAGCCATCTTGAAAATCTATATGTGTGCATGCCAAAACTCAGGGGCTAGGCACTATCCTTTAATTTTTTCACTCTACCACTTGTGCTGTAGCTCTACTTAAAACTGTTGTTGGTTTTTTTGTTGTTTTTTGCTTTTTTGTCAGTCGTGGGCCCTGAACTCTAGGCCTAGGCTCTGTCCCTCAGCTCTTCAGTTCAAGGCTAGCTCTCTACCGCTTGAGCCACAGCGCCACTTCTGGCCTTTTCTGCTTATGTGTTGCTGAGGAACCCAGGGCCTCATGCATGCAAGGCAAGCACTCTACCACTGAGCCACGCTCCCAGCCCGTACTTACAACTTTTTGGTGTTTAAGTAAAAAGAAAGTTTCATAGCTTTAGCCTACCCTAGCTGGCTTTGAACCATAAGCCTTGGATCTCAGCCTCTTGAGTAGCTGGGATTACAAGCATTAAAGCATCAACTTCCAGCTTTCTTTTGGAAATCTTTATCTTACTGAAAATCAGATCTGTAATTCCTGTTGCCCCTGAAAAACAAAGATTAGTTGTTATTGTTTTACTACTTTGACAAACCTTATCTACTGTAGTGAAAATGGAAATGTGGCTTCTTAATGCAACAGAAAAACCGTGAAAAAAGAATGGATTTTAAAATGACTATATTAAAATTCTTCTCCAGTACTGCAGATCAATAAGGATGATATAACTGCCCTGCACTGTAAGGTAATATGTCTTATTCAGAATGGAAGTTTCAAGGAAGCCTTGAATGTCATCAATACTCACACCAAAGTGTTAACAAAGTAAGTGATTATCTCAATGTATAGAACCACTTTTGTTAAGAGTTATAACCTCTTCCATGGTTTCTCCTCCACTAGTCATTTTTTTAACCTACTTTTCCCTCCATTTTCCTTTTACTTGCTAGTGTTTCTGAAACTGGAAGAAGCACTAGCATCTATGCCTAGAGAGCTGTTTATTTGTTTATTTTGACCACTAAGAATGAAGTATACTCTAGAAGATAGGGAACATTAAACAGAGTTCATGTGGGATAGAGAGGCAAGGACCCAGCAAAAGTTTGAGCATATAAGCATACAAGTTGATTGAGGTCTTCAGGATGATGTGGCAGTGTTAGTCTGACTGATTCTCCATTGAGAATTATTTAAATGAATATACTTAATTTGACTTTTCTTTAGTTATACTTGGCCCCAAAGAAATATGTATCAAGACTAAATTTATAAGATATTTATTCTTTAATGGAATGTTTATAAGAAAATATATTTTTGTAAGAAGGTACCGGAATTTATACATAAATATGTTTTATATTATAAGTACATATGACAAATTTATATATTTGATGAAAAACTACAAGGGAATCAATAAATAAAAATAGTCATTTGTAGGGAATGAGGAGGAACAGAGTAGATCTCAGTAACAAAAGAGGTAAATCTTGGTATTTATCTTTTTGTTTTTATACTTGTGCCATGTAAAATGTAGATTGAAAACTGATTTTTTAAAACTTACAAGAACTAAAAAGAGAAGCCAGGCACCGGTGGCTCATGCCCGTAATCCTAGCTACTCAGGAGGCTGAGATCTGAAGATCATGGTTCAAAGCCTGCCAGGGCAGGAAAGTCCGTGTAAACCACTCAGAAAACTGGAAGTAGCTCTGTGGTTCAGGTGGTAGAGTACTAGTCTTGAGTTGAAGAGCTAAGGGACAGTGCCTAGGCCAAGAGTTCAAGCCCCATGACCAACAAAAAAAAAAAAAAGGAAAGATAAAAAGACAAAGAAAAGGAATGATGCTCTTAAGGATTATAGGTATGAGCCACCAGCACCTAGCTCATCCTGTATGATTTTTAAACATGTTATTAATTTTTGTCCTGGGAATTAATGTATATCATATGCTTAAGGCAATTTCTGGCATATAGTGAGCACTGTGCACTGTTAAATAATAATCATACATTGGTATGCTTTTTCTTCAGTAACTCACTGTCCTTTGAGAAGGCATATTGCGAGTACAGGCTAAACAGAATTGAGAATGCTTTGAAGACGATCGAAAATGCCAACCAGCAGTCAGACAAACTAAAGGAGCTTTATGGACAAGTGGTAATTACTGCTTTAAAATACCTGTTGACAATCATCCTGAGTGAGCATGACTCTGCCTTTAACGTGGAGCAGGGATGAGGAATTCCAGCCCATCCTGGTGCTCCACAAAACTGGTCATCAAGCTAATTCTCGAGGTTTGAACGTATTCTCTCTTCTTGCTCTTCATTTAAACAGTTGCATACATAATGTTCTTTGAACAAGGGACTTCCTCAGGGGTAACTAGAAAATTAACGGAACTATTCCATGCAATTTAGACTTAGTTGAAAAGATGAAAGCAAGTGAGTTTCTGTACTTATACAGATTTGAAACAACATTTCTAATATTTAACCGGTATTTTAAGATTAAAATAAAAGCATGATGTATGAGAATTTGATCTGCCCTATAAGAGTATATTACTCAAAGAAGGGGCTGGGAAGGTGGCTCAGTGGTAGAGCACTTGCCTAGCACCACATAAGCAAAAAGAAAAAAGCCGGAAGTGGTGCTGTGGCTCATGTAGTAGAGTGCTAGCCTTGAGCTGAAGAGCTGAGGAACAGCGCCTAGCCCCAGAGTTCAGGCCCCACGTCTGGATACCCCCCCCCCAAAAAAAAAGAAAAGTATATTACTCATGGAAATATATCCTGTCAAAATACTTCATTCTAAATGACATGAGACATAAAATTAAGCATGATATAAAGAAGTCTTATTAATGAAAAGATAGGAATCTGTAGTCTAGATAAATAGAAGGTAAATCAAGGGTTGATTAAGATCACCAGTCTTGGTCATGGGTGGACTGATTGACCCAGAGAAGTGGTTGTTACTCTCCTTTAAGAATGTGAATAATAATATGGAAATGTAACTGTGAATGGAAAAAGAACATGAATGAAATAAGCAGTAATTATATTGTGGATACTTGAGACTGTGTACAGTGGCTAAATTCTGAGATACAAAAATTGAAAGATTTATATGGTTAACTCCTAGGAAGCATTATCTTTTTTTGTTAATATTCTTTATTGCTAGGACTTAAGTTATTTTCAGTGGGAAAAAATTTTTATTGTAATTCAGATTCAATTAACATACAAACTTTTGTAGAAAGATTTCCTCATAATCCCTTTAACTTCAAGAAAGAATGTAAAGAAAAAAAAATTGTGTTGGTACCAAAGCTAGGAGTTGAGCCTTACATATTTTTCTAAATTGAATTATATCTGTAATATAGTAAGAGTCATTGTTAGGAGAATTTTTGAAGGCATTAGAGTACACAGAAGTAATTGAAATAAATTTTTTTTAAATAGTTGATTGCTTGTATTTTGCTGAGGTAGATTTCCTACTTAGTGGTTTCAAATGGGATTTGTAGGGTGTTAGACACTATGTTCATGTTCTTTGATATTTTTTTATTGCCTTTTTGTTCTCTAGCTATACCGCTTAGAACGCTATGATGAATGCCTAGCTGTGTATAGAGATCTAGTCCGAAATTCCCAAGATGATTATGATGAAGAAAGGAAAACAAACCTTTCTGCAGTTGTTGCAGCTCAAAGCAATTGGGAAAAAGTGGTTCCAGTAAGTATCCTTGTATGCCTATACTGCCAGGAAGTAATGTTCTTTTTGAGTGTTTGACTGGTATTTTGCTCCATGATAGGAGAACTTGGGCCTCCAAGAAGGCACACATGAACTGTGCTACAATGCTGCTTGTGCACTGATCGGACAAGGCCAGTTGAACCAGGCAATGAAAATCCTACAAAAAGCTGAAGGTTGGCAGTTTTCAAGTTTTCTATAACTATAATCTGGATAAGACCTTTGTAGAGCATCTTCAAAACTTGGAGTCAATGTTTATGAAATTATTAAATAGAAGCAGTAGTTTTTCAAAGTTCATCTACTCTCTCTTTTGGACCGTATCTCTATTTCTGTTGAAACACCAAGTTATTTTGCCTGTCCATTTTTAGTCATATTAGACTTCAGAGTTTGAATTTTGAGTACTTCCTTTCGGAGCAAGTTTTTTTGAATGTTAAATGTAAATGAAGTGACATATGTAACACAACTCAAGCACATTTTAATTAAGAAAAAAGGAGGCTGTGGCTGGGTGCTGGTGGCTTATGCAAGTAATCTTAGCTCTTCAAAAGGCTGAGATCTGAGAACCATGGTTTAAAGCCTACCTCAGCAGAACAATCCATGAGAAGGAGAGTGATAGATGACAGGTCTGACTCAATTGGTAAGAATGCCAGCTGTGAGTGAAATAGCTCAGCAAAAGTGCAAGACTCTGGGGTAAAGTTACAGTACCAGCATACATATAAAAGAAAAAAGGAACCTAGAATGTAGTTCTGTAGTAGAGTACAATCACAAGGCCTTGGATTCAATTCTCAGTACCCCCAAAAAAAGAAAATTTATTTGAGAACTTATTTCAGGACTCAACTCTTTCTAGAAGCTATAAAAGTGATGTTACAGAGATTTTAGAGGATAGTGATAAGGATAAAAAGTGAAACAGTAACTGTGAACAGCTAAACTGAAATCAAGGTTAGAATATCATGAAAAATCTGTGTAAGAATTAAAATCTCAGGGTTGGAGTTGAATACTTGCCTGCTATGCATATGCCCTGAGTTCAGTCCCTAGCACCACAAAAATGCATAATAAATAAATATATAGGCAGATGAATAGAATTAAAATTTTGCCAGAGACAGTAGTGCACACCTACAGTCAGAAAACTGAGGCAGGAGAATTGAAAGTTCAAGGCCAGCCTGCACAGTGGAGTCAGGGCCTCATTTAAGAAAATGATTGCAGGGAGGGGGGGGGGGGGGGGGGCAGAGGCGAGCGAAAGGGGGGGACAACGGGCGACTTAGGGCCTTGTTATCCTTCTTGGCATTTTTATTCAAAGCTGGCACTCTGCCACTTTAGCCACACCTCCACTCCCAACTTTTTGCTGATTAATTGGAGATAAGAGTTTCAGATTTGTCCACCCAGGCTTTTTTCAAATCCTGATCCTGAGATTTCACTCTTGTGAGTAAGATTATAGGTATCAGCTACCAGAGCCTGGCAATTAAAATTTCTTAAGCTGGGTTCAGTGGCTCACACCTTTAGTTATACTATTTGGGAGCTAAAGCAGATCAGTTGAGTTCTGGTGTTCAAGAATAGTTTCGGAAAAATAACATAACACTATCTCACTTTTTAAAAAAGATAGATGATGCATTACAGAGTTGTTTTTTTTTTTCTAAACAGTACTGTAGTTTGAGCTACTATCTGACTGTAGGCAGGTGCCCCCACCCAACATTGAAGATTTTAGTGTAGAAGTATTATAGACTTACATGAGCAGTTTGTTAATGTGTAGCAGATTTTGAAATGTATGTATTCTTTACTCAATTCCATTTTCTTCTAAAGGAATAATGAAACCAATTTTACATTTGTCTTTATGTTAATCATAATGGTTAAGAGAACAAAAATTAGTAAGTACATTACTTTCTGGATTGGTTATTTTACTTTAATTATGAAACAGATTTGTCATAGAGCCATTAAAACGGAACAAAACATAATAACATAGATGCATGTTTATTAAACACAAAGATGAACACAGAGTGGTGAAATAGCCCAAGTAGTGGCACTTGCCTAGTAAGTAGCAGACCCTGAATTAAAACTCCATTACCAACAAAACAAAACCAGAAGCTAGACACAATGGCTTATGCCTATACTTGGACGAGGTGCACATTAGGACCAGAACTGGACTAGCCCAGACAAAAGTTTTAGATACCCTTCTCTTCCACTAAATTCAACAAATGAGTCAGAAAGGTATGGTGGTGCTTGCCTGTGTGATCCCAGCTACTCTGGGGTCTATTTGTAGGAGGATATTTGGTTGAGGATAACCTTGAGCAGAAAAGACTGTCTGAGAAATCTCAGAAATTTAGTTCTTGTTTTTTGGAACAGTAAAAGGAATGGAAATTACCCAGCAATACTAACTTTTAGATAATTTTTCTCTTGTAGATCTTTGCCGCCGTTCATTTTCAGAAGACTCTGTAAGTATTATACAGTTATTAAGTCCAGATTTTATAGTTTTTTGTTTTGTTTTTGTGGGTTTTTTTTTTTTGTTGTTGTTTGTGAGGCCTGAACTCTGGGCCTGGGTGCTGTCCGTCAGCTCTTCAGCTCAAGGCTAGCACTCTACCATTTGAGCCATAGCACCACTTCAGTCTTTTTCTGCTTATGTGGTGCTGAGGAATCGAACCCAGGGCCTCATGCATGTGAGGCAAGTACTTTACCACTGAGCCACCTTTCCAGCCCCTAGATTTTATAGTTTTGACTAATAATGGACAGCTTCATTGTAGAATTCACTTTTTGTTATAGATAGTACAGTTCTTTTGGTTTATACCAACTTAGAAAATAATTTTCTTTAGGAACTTTAATGGATCTGAGAATTTTATATGGTTTATATGAAAATAAAGCTACTTTTCACATGAATAGTTCTTTCAGAGTAGTATTGTTACCTTGTCAAGCACAAGTGACACAACATGTTTGGGAACGACTCTTGGTTGGCAAACATTAAATTAGAGATGGAGTACTGAGTTGATAAAAGAGAATAGCCTCGTAGTTTTAAATATTCATTAGGCAACTTTTCTGAAAAAATTGGAGAATGTGGATGTATCCAAAGCATCAGTTGATGGTACTACATATTTTAAGCCAGTACTCATACCTATATTACTAGCTTCTCAGAAGGCTGACATCTGAAAGATCCTGCTTTGAGGCCAGCCCATGTTCACTACACTTTTCTTTTTTTTTAATTTTTATTTATTTTTTATTGTGAAAATACTGTACAGAGGGGTTACAATTAGATGGGGAAGATAATGAGTACATTTCTTATCAAGCATTGTAGCCTCCTCCTTTGTTTCCCCTTCCTGTCTCTTCCCAGCCTCCCCTCATAGTACTTAACTGTATTTTTTTTTGTCTTTTCTTTTTTGGTACTGGGGATCGAACCCAGGACATTGCACTTGCTAGGCAAGCGCTTTGCCACTGAGCTACATCCCAGCCCCACTACACTTAATTTCTAAAGCAACTAACATAAAGCAGGACTGGTCAAGCACCTGTGGCTTATGCCTGTAATTCTAACTACTCTAGCTGAGAACTAGAGATTACTGTTCAAAGCCTGCTTGGGCAGAAAAGTCCATGAGATTTATCTCCAATAAAGCCAGAAGTGGCACTGTAGTTCAAGTGGTAGAGCACTGTCCTTGAGCAAAAGAAGTTCAGGGACAGCACCCAGCCTAGAGTTCAAGCCCCAGGACTGATGGAACAAAAACCAAAACAAATAGGCCTAGAGATGTAGATCAAGTGGTAGATTACAGCTCAGTAAGCTTAAGGGTTTAGAGTTCAAACTCTAGTATTACTACTTGATAGGAATTCTTTTTTTTTTTTTGGTTGGTTGTGGGGTCTGAACTTTAGGCTTGGGTGCTGTCCCTCAGCTCTTCAGCTCTTCTGGCTTCTTCTGCTTATGTGGTGCTGAGGAATCAAACCCAGGGCCTCATGCATGTGAGGCAAGTACTCTGCCACTGAGCCACATTCCCAACCCCTATAAGAAAACATTTTTAAAGTAGAAGATAAAAAGAATTATTTAGTTAATTTTATCTTTCGTTTTTGTTTGTTTTGTCTGTGTGGGATTGAACTCACAGCCTGGGCACTGTCTTTGAGCTCTTTTTGCTCAAGGCCAGTGCTCACCACTTTGTGTCACAGCTCCACTTTGGGATTTCTAATGATTATTTGGAGATAAGAATCCCACAGACTCCTTCTTGGGCTGGCTTTGAGCCAGTCTTCAGATCTCAGCCTCCTGAGTTGCTACTATTACAGGTGTGAGCCACCAGCTAATTCTATGTTTTGGGTTTTTTTTAAGTTATTAGTAGAATATTATTTGCCTTAGAGATACGGTAGAATTGACAGAAGCATTTTTTTCTTTTCCTAGTGGGATGGCACTAGGGTTTGAACTCAAGGCTTTGGCACTTGCTAGGCAAGAGCTCTACCGCTTGGCACACACACCCTTTATATTTTAGTTATTAGATAAAATCTTGCACTTTGTCTCCAGACTTGCCTCAAACTGAGATCCTTCTATCTACACCTTCTGAGTAGCTGAGATTACAAGTTTGAGCTTCTACAGTTGGCTAGAGAATCCTCTTAAAAATACATTCTTACAAGAAAGTTGTTGGCAGAATTTAGGAATTTTGTCAAAAGTTAAATCTGGATGTCAATTGTTTTTTGTTTTTTGGGTTTTTTGTTTTTTTTGTTTTTGGGGCATTCATAGGGCTTGAACTCTGGGCCTGGGCGCTATCCCTCAGCTCTTCAGCTCTAGGTTAGTGCTCTACCACTTGAGCCACAGCGCCACTTTCCTGCCCAGGCTGGCTTTGAACCGAGATCCTCAGATCTCAACCTCCTGAGTAGCTAGGATTATAGGCGTGAGCCCCGGCGCCCAGCTGGATGCCAGTTTTTTTATATTATGATTTTCATTCCTGGGCTTTAGAGGATAATGACCATTAATACATTGTATTTCTTAATTTGTTGCCATGTTCTGCCAACATCTTTTTGCCATTTTCTCAACAACTCTCTTTAGTGACAATTCTAAATTTAAAAGAACTGATGTCATGGAACATTCTTGAAATTACATGTCTTCTTACGGGTTATATCTCTTTCAAACATTTGGATCACTTGATAAAATTATTTCAAATTTTCAGTTTGGAAATTTTTACAGAAAAAAAAAATCTTTCTTCTTCTGCTTAGGATGGGACTGAGGAAGACCCACAGGCAGAACTGGCCATCATTCATGGTCAGATGGCCTATATTCTGCAGCTTCAGGGTCGTACAGAGGAGGCTCTGCAACTTTACAATCAGATAATAAAACTAAAGTGAGTTGTTAAAATGAAGTTTCTTTTATAGGGGATGAGGCTTCTTTTTTAAAGTTTGTTCTATCTTAACTGTTGCTTCTTGTTCACAGGCCCACTGATGTGGGACTGCTAGCTGTAATTGCAAATAACATCATTACCATTAATAAGGTAAGGGATATCCAGGGCTTTCCTGTGTGTGTATTTTGTGCTGAGAACTCATTACCCCAGCTTTATTTCTAGGGAAAGCATTATTTTTTCCATGTTAGAAAAAAATCCTCGAGTGGCAGAATTACGATGGAGTATTAGTTAACTCTCATAAGATTGATGATTCTGTAATGCATATTCAAGTAATAAAGCATTCTTGTAAGCCAGTATATTAGCACACATCTGTAATCCCAGTGTGTTGAAAGTGCAAGACCAACCTGAAATACCCAGCCTCAAAAACCTAATTCATTCTGATACTGAAAAGAAGTATACTTGGTTAAATTCCTTGTCTTTTTAACTGCTGTATTTGATAAAATAGAAAGATCTCTGGGTTAGCAGATTTGAGTTGACCTGTGAAGGTTTGACTGGTTTAAGATTTTATCAGTAGTATATATTAGTTGTACAAGGGCTGCGTAATTGTGATACATGCATACAATATACTGCATCGACCTTATTCTCTCTTATCACTCTCCCTTAACCTATCCTCTTCCCAACAATTTCAACTGTTTTTTTTGTTCTGTTTTCACACATGTACCAAAAATACTGATACTTGTTGAAGGTTTAAAGATTAACCAGCAGGATAAGCATGCATAAATATGAAGAAGCATTTCTAGTTCACTGGGGAAAAATGAGAAAACACAAAAAGATACATAGGCATAAGGGACTAAAAGAAAAAAATAAAAAGTTAAATATCATCAAGGTATTTTTTCTAAAATGGCTTCAGAAATTTGTACAGTGATTTACTTACATACTGATCATTTCAAACTTTTTATATTTTACTTTATTATGCAAATTTAAACAGCATGATTTGTAGAAATTGCAAAGTAAATATCTTTGTAGTCAGTCTCAAAACAAGTAGTTAATAATAGAAAGATAATCAGGAGTTTGGATCCCTTTTTCCTTAAGACAGTTCATTTCAGCCTTCTCACCCCTGTTAAGTAGCTTGTGTAATAGATAGATACACCAGTAGGTTTGAATTGTAAAGATTTCATTTACATCTGTGAACCCAGAGCAAATTTCTATATATTTTACTAGCTGAGGTTCTAACCAGGTTGTGTTTATATAAAATAGCTAAATGAAAGAATAAGACCTTGGCATTTTAAGGGGGCTGAAGTTGGAGATGCTGTTAATAATGGTGAATGAACTTTCCCTTTATTAGGACCAAAATGTCTTTGACTCCAAGAAGAAAGTGAAATTAACCAATGCAGAAGGAGTAGAATTTAAGCTTTCCAAGAAACAACTACAAGCTATAGAATTTAACAAAGCTTTACTTGCTATGTACACAAATCAGGTAGGTAATAATAGATCTCTAGTTTCCTGGCTAACTCTTAACTCTTTTATAAATAGCAAATAATATTTAATGCATGTATTGGTCTAATTTATTTGTGTGTGTGTGTGTTGTGTGTGTGTGTGTGTGGTCTAGTTTATTTGTGTGTGTGTGTGTGTGTGTACACTCAGGACCTCATTCTCTTGGCTTGGCTTTTTTCACAAAAGGCTAGTGCTCTACCACTTGAGCTACACCTCTGTCTCTGGCTTTTTGTCAGTTAATTGAAAATAATAAGAGTTTCATAAACTTTATTTCTAATATCAATTGAAATACACTCAGCAAAGATACCAGTCATGATTATAAACACTCCCTTTCGGGCTGGGAAGGTGGCTCAGTGGTAGAGAGCTTGCCTTGCATGCCTGAGGCCCTGGGTTCGATTCCTTAGCACCACATAAGCAAAAAGAAAAAGCCGGAAGTGGCGCTGTGGCTCAAGTGGTAGAGTGCTAGCCTTGAGGTGAAGAGCTGAAGGACAGCGTTCAGACCCCATGGCCGTACCCAAAAAGAAACAAACTAAAAAACACTCCCTTTCATTTTGGTTCTGCTGTAAACAAAAGTTACAGATGTTGAAGAGATTTTATATGTATATATAGAGAGAGAGAGACAGACAGACATATGTATATATGTATGTACATACATATGTAAGTGCTATGTATATATGTGTATATATAAATTATGTAATATATATAATTATATATGTATAAAATTATATATACATATATGAGCTTGATAACATGAATTTTGAATTAGTACTCATGTAAAACCTAAGTTTTTAGTAGGAGAGTGAGAGGTTAGAATGTTTTTTATTATTTACAACTGAGTCAAATTATTAATACTTGGGTAAGAAATAAGTTTTGTGGTATTTATACTTGATGTATTACATTTTTAAACCTAATTTGAACATTCAAACAAACATTTAGAACTTTCCTTTTACCTAATGAGTTTTATAATTCATAGCTTAAATTCAGCAAATGGAAATCTTTTCTTGGAAGTAAACTTGAAACCAGATGCTATAAACTGTTTTCCTAACCTTTTTACATTTTTCATTTAAAAAAAAAACAAAACTAATACCCCCATCTCCCTTTGGGATTATTTAGTATTTAAGTTCATTAACCAGGTTTTTGTTATGTTGGAATCATTTTATAGGCAGAACAATGCCGAAAAATATCTACCAGTTTACAGTCTCAAAGTCCAGCACATCTCCTTCCTGTGTTAATCCAAGCAGCCCAACTCTGTCGTGAAAAGCAGCACACAAAAGCAATAGAGCTGCTTCAGGTAAAGACGTTAAACTTGAGTTTTTAATTAGGTGTCAGGCAGTTACCACCCTGTTTTACTTCCTTATAATAAGCTATAAGCTTGTCATTCCAGTATAGTAAGCCATAAGTAAATATACCACTAGATAAATTCTAGAGTCACTTTAGTTAATTCTTAGGTTATAGCTTCATTTTGTGAAAATTTATATCGTATAAATAATGAACCCCTAAAAACACTTGTTTCTTTTGAAGATCCACTAAACATGAAATGGAGATTTGTTGTAGTCTTAAAATACCAAAACATATGAAACCCATGTTCCATTAATGTGTTCTCCAGTAAATCTTACTTTAAAACTAAGTCATGGAGATACTACTCCAGTTCTGTTATGTTAAATATATGAATGTTGTCCATGTAGATAATGTTGAAAAGTTGAACAGGTAAAGTTAGGACCATTTTGAGGGGTAGAGTTGCCTATCAGGCCATCCCTCTCCTCTCCTTCCCTTAACTAGTCATTCCTTAAAAAAAAAAAAAAAAAAGTATAGTAATCTTTTGTTTCTTTGACATGATTTCCAGGAAACTTGATAGTATTGTTTACTTCTAGAGCATAGCTTTATAGCAAATTGAATGTAGAATGAAGTATCAAGGAAGCTTGATACTTTGAAACTGAATGTAAAAATTGTATGTAGCAATGATAGTAATTATGTAATGTCTGCAATTGTATAAATGTAATTTTTTTCCCCAACCAAAAACATTGTAGGAATTTTCAGATCAACATCCTGAAAATGCAGCTGAAATTAAGCTCACCATGGCACAATTGAAAATTTCTCAAGGTATTAATAAATATTTGAGTTAAAATATTTTGTGTAATAATAAAGTGTAACTATTGTTTGAAACCCAAAGATAGTTTTTTTTATCATCTCCAAATGTTGCAATGAAGTAGTTGGCCCTTAGGGTAATTCCTAAATTGATAGAACAATTTTCACTCAGGGCCTCAAGGTCAGTAGAGCATAGGATTCCTGTGTTCAAAAAGACCACAGTTAACTTGTATTTTCTGAGTACATTCTGTTATAAGAATACTTGGTCATTTGTGTAAAATAAGAAGCTTACTTTGTCTTGTGCTTTCCAGTATTTCACAGCTTTGCCCTTACCACATAAAATTTAGTGAGAACTTATATATTTGATTTTTAACAGAAAACTGCTTAGAACGTCTGCAGTTTCAGACTAAACTTGAGTTATTATCTGACTTGAGTTGTCTAGTGTGCTACTAGCCACATGTAGCTATTTGAGGTTTGAATTAATCAGAATTTAATAAAACTTAAAATTCCTACCAGGTATGAGCACCTGCCTATAGTTCCACCTACTCAGGTAGAGGCAGGAAGATCTCAAGTTTGAGGCTAGCTTGGGCAAAGTTATCAAGATTTTATCATGAACAAAATGGTTGTAGGCATAGTTCAATTGGTAGAACAATTGTCTACCACTAGTTCTATTTCAGTGCCTCAACTAGCATACAACAAAGCAAAATAGGTGACAGAAATACAAAATAGGAAGCCGGGCGCCAGTGGCTCAAGCCTGTAATCCTAGCTACTCAGGAGGCTGAGATCTGAGGATCACGGTTCAAAGCCAGCCCAGGCAGAAAAGTCCATGAGACACTTATCTCCAATTAATCACTAGAAAACCAGAAGTGGTGCTATGGCTTAAGTGGTAGAGCGCTCGCCTTGAGCTGAAGAGCGCATGGATAGCACTCAAGCCCAGAGTTCAAGCCCCACACCGACAAAAAAAAAAAAGAAATATAAAACAGGTCCTATAGATACTGGTGATAGTATGGGTGAATGTTGTTAGAATATATTATGGATGGGAGGGGGGGGGCAGGGAATGGGAAGGGGAAACAAAGGAGGAGGCAACAATGCTTGATAAGAAATGTACTCATTATCTTGCCCGTGTCATTGTAACCCCTCTGCATGGTACTTTCACAATAAAAAAAATCAATTAAAATTTAAGAAAAGAATATATTATGGACATGTGTGAACAGGGAGCAGTGAGGCGGGGAAGGAAATGGGATAAAGTAGTGATGCAGGGGTGGAGCCAGGTCAGGGTACATTGGATGCACATATAAACTTATCAAAATGAGACCCCCCCTTATACAACTAATTGATTATACAAAGTGTGGGAAAATAAAATTGATTTCCTTAGTTGTTGTAGCCACACTTAAGAAACTTAGTAGCCATGTATATCTAATGGCTGCTCTGTTGGATGGCACAGATAATAGGACATTTACAACAGTGCATAAAATACTGTCATACAGCTCTAGTGGTTTTGTTTTAGAGAATGGAAGGTATGTTCCTGAAGTTTTCAGTGAATGAAAAAGTTTAACACCACAATTTTTCATTGCAGTCATGTCTATAGTAATATATCCTTTGGAAATTGTAGTGTGGTAAAGGAGAGAACTAAAACCCATCAGACTGGAAGTTGCCATTACTTTTGTAAGGTTATGCAAATAAATAAAGTAAATTATGTAGCCAGGAGCTGGTGGATCACTCCTGTAATCCTAGCTACCCAGGAACTGAGATCTCAAGTTTGCAGTTCGAAGCCAGTCCAGGAAGGAAACTCGTAGCTTCACATAACTACCAAAAAATGCTGAAAATAGAGCTGTGGCTCAAGTGATAAAGCACTGAACAAAAAAGCTGAGTAACGGTGCTGGGAAGGTGGCTCAGTGGTAGAGCGCTTGCCTTGCATGCATGAGGCCCTGGGTTCTATTCCTCAGCACCACATAAGCAGAAAAAGCTGGAAGTGGCGCTGTGGCTCAAGTGGTAGAGCGCTAGCCTTGAGCTGAAAAGCTGAGGCACAGTTCCTAGGCCCAGAGTTTAGGCTCACAACCAGCAAAAAAAAAAAAAAAAAAGCTGAGTAAGGGTAACACCTAGTCCCTGAGTTTAAATCCCAGTACTGACACAAAAATGGGTGAAGAATTTTTCTTTTTCCTTTTCTTTCCCCCCCCCCCAGTTCTAGGGCTTGAACTTGGGGCCGGGACGCTGCCTTTGAGCTTCTTTATTCAAGGCTAATCCTCTACTTCTTGAGTCACACAGCTCCATTTCTGGCTTTTTGGTGGTTAATTGGAGATCACTCTCAAGTCTGCCTGTCTAGACTGACTCAAACTTCAAGTTCCTGTGATTATAGGTGTGAGCCACATGTACCTAGATGTGAATATTTCCTTATCTGAAAAAATGAAGTATACTGTCCCCCAAACCTAAAAGCTTATATATTTAAAGATGTTACTAAATACAATTCATTGTTTATTTCCTTAGGATAAGAGAAGTAAAATTTCTTGTATTGTTTTTCTATGTATGCTTCCTTCACTGTGGTGCTTTTAATCTCTTAAGGTAATATTTCCAAAGCATGTCTAATATTAAGAAGCATAGAAGAGTTAAAGCATAAACCAGGAATGGTGAGTTTGTAAGTAAAATATTCTGAAAAGCTGGCAGATTATTTTCTTATTTTTTCAAATTTATGAATTAGGAAACACTTAAAGTTATTAACAGTAATTTACCTAGAATAAATTTAATTTCATTCTGCCCTCTGCCTTTTGTTGGTTTATTACTCAGTCAAGTATGGCAGACACTATTTAAGCCTTAAGTTATCAGTGAAAGCCAACTGCAAATAATCTGAGACCCTGTAGGACATTTTTTTTAGCCTAAATTATTTATGGTGTTAGTGATTTGTTGTTGTTATTGGTTGTGAGACGTATATCCAGATCTTAGGCATGATCCCTAAGCTTTTGTGCTGAAGACAAGCACTCTACCACTTTGAGCCACAGTTTGAACTTCCAGAGTTTGTTTTTTTTTAAGTTAAATTAGTAAATTTGGTTTTTAGTTCTCTATTGAAATACCATAGGATTGATCACTAACAGATATTAATTATTCGGTGGTAGGATATCCATCTGTTTATTAAATGAACTGTTGTTGATGCACAACTTATTTGCAATTAGCACTCAGTAATTGTGTAATAATATGACTTGTATTGATTGGTTGGTTGATTGCTAGCATGTATTAGCTGAACAAGGGGAGTTTCACCTTGTCATTTCCAAACTCGCAGGCAATATATCCCAAACTCACTCCCTCTTTCAGTCTCCTTTCCACCACTCCCCATCAAGTTCAAAAGGTTTCGTTGTTCTTTTTCATACATGGAAATAAACTGCTTTCATCATATTCTCATTTACCTTCCTGGCATTGCTCATCCTGTTGGCATCCATTCTCAACATTTTCCTGTCATTGCTTTTGTTTGTTTTAGTGTATATTGTACCATGCCATTCCAGACACACACGTTTTTATCAGAATAACCCTGTCCGTTGCTTTTTCTTTCCCCATCCCACAGCCTCCGATAAATAGTAGCTTTCATTGAGACTCCTTATGCCATCTTCATACATAGTTGCAAGTGATTTGAATTCACTATCTTTTTCCCTCTTAATTCATATTTTGTGTCTTGTGTTATGGTTATTTCCTGTTGGAATTAATATATTCAGTTAAATTAATCAATGATTATATTCAGTCATTAAGTATGTACAGGTGAAAGTAAAATGTTTCTAATATTTAATATCAGGCCTTAATTTAAGGGATTTATTCATTCCATGTAGGTTGTTGGCATAGAAGTTGTGCATAGTATTTCCTTTTTGTCCTCCTCATATCTGTTCTCTTTGTATCTTTGTATCTCCTCCCTTTTATTACTTATATTAGCCTCTTGTATCTTTTCTCTTTTTTTTCTTATCTTTCTGATCAGAGGTTTATCAGTTTTACTGTTTTTTAAAGATCTAACTTTTTGTTTTTGTTTCCTTCTATGCTTGTCTTCTTTTCCTCCAAATTCCTCTCCCTTCCACTCTAACCATCTGGTCCTCCTTACTGTCCCTCAAGCATACTTAGTTTATGCAGCTCAGGCCACAGGGAGAGCTAGCTTATCACAGGAGTTGAACCACATTAGTGTATACCTCACTCATCACACAGTTGAATTCTAGAGATGTCTTACAGTATTATAAGTGTGTCTAAACACTTACTTTCAACTCTTGAACTTAAACTGTGAACCAGCAATGCTTTAGAAGAAAGGTTTACTTTATAGTGACAGCCTTCCTATTTTGGAAGCACTGTTCATGTTCATGTTATTTCTAGGAGTAATGTTTATGGTGAATTAGTTATATAGCAGAGTGTAATAATCTTTATTTGCTATTTCTTATTTTTCATTTTGGGAAAATGTATTTCATCTGGGTACTTGTGGCTCATGCCCATAATCCTAGCTACTCAAGAGGCTGAGATCTGAGGATCGTTATTCTAAGCCAGCCTGGACAGGAAAGTCCCTGAGACTCTTATCTCCAGTTAACCACCAGAAAACTAGAGTGGTGCTGTGGCTCAACGTGGTACAGTGCTAGCCTTGAGCAAAAAAAAGCGCTCAGAGACAGGCCCTGAATTCAGGCCTCACAAATGCCCAAAACAAAACAAAAACAAGTGTATTTGAGACTTAAGGGAGAATTTTATTCATTTTTTTTCCTTTGGGTGTATAGGTATCTGCACTAGTGACCATGTATAGCCATGAGGAAGATATTGATAGTGCTATTGAGGTCTTCACACAAGCTATCCAGTGGTATCAAAACCATCAGGTAAATAAATGACTAGAATGTTTTGAGAATTAGTTTGACATTAATAGTGAACAGCTGCAACAGTGAACTCAAAAGGTCAGAAATTGAAGAATGTCAAGTTGCCACTTAAAATATAATGCTGTTACTAGATTATCAAATACTTTTTAAAGTATACCAGGTTCATAAACAACTGGTAAGCAATACATAGAATAGGGGGGAGGGAGTTGGGAATCAAATTCAGGGCTTAGCATTGGACTCTACTGCTGAGCTACATCTCCAATTCATTTTTATTTTTTATATCTGCTTCCTCTGTGGGTCTGTACATGTATTTGTGTGCAGAATCTCAAGAAGTAATTATATTATTACATGATTACACATAAAAAGATACATTTAAGTGGCTAGAGGATGTAATTACTGCTGTGGTAATTACCATCCATGGTGGTAATTATTGGAACATGCAATAATGGTTTATTCTGTCTCCACCTATCAAAAGCATCTTCATTTTTTTTTCTCTACATAGACAGTATCCACTTACCAACAGCCATCTATCCATGCATGTGGCATTTATACTTAACCACTATTAGCAGTGGATGGACGACAGTGTTCTGAGAAGTGTTACATCAGATTAATGCTTGAGAACTCTGGTAGCCTAGCTCTAAGATTTAATTTTACCTATATATAATCTAAACAGATCTGGTTTATATTTATGTTTATGGTTTAGCTACTTATGTTCTAGTCTATATTCTTAAATTGGTGATTACTTATACTAACTTGTGTATTCACTTTCCTGTATGTGTAATTTTGTTATTTCAGACATTATTATTTATAATTTATATTATTTATAATTTGATGGAGAGGTCTATTTTAAAGGTCTAATAAATACAGCTTCATATTTGGCTTAAAACTTTTTGTTTTTAACTTTAGCCTAAATCTCCTGCTCATTTGTCCTTGGTAAGAGAAGCTGCAAACTACAAGCTCAAATATGGGCGGAAAAAGGAGGCAATTAGTGACCTGGAACAGCTATGGAAGTAAGCTCTGAGAAGTGTTGAAGTCCATATTATAATGTTGTATATTCTTTGTTCTGTAAATGGATCAATAACTTTCTTATTTCTTTATTTAGACAAAATCCAAAAGATATTCACACCCTGGCGCAGCTTATTTCTGCTTACTCGCTTGTAGATCCAGAGAAAGCAAAAGTGTATCCTTTTCATCGTTGTTCTATACAGCTCCCCACAGAACAATAGAGTTCTTCTGGTCCTTACTCTGACCAGGTATTTTTCTGTTGTCAATTTCAACTAACATCCCTTTCTAACTAGTAAGAGGAAAAGTTAGAATTAATGATCAATGAGATTTAAAAATACAGTGGAAAATAAAAAGCGATAGGTCCGCCTTGGGATAGTTTGATCCAGAATCAAAAGTAAAAACAAGCTGCAGCCCTATATGCCTCCAGATTTGTTACTGAGTAAATAATAGACAGCCTATTTCTATGTGAGGAGTTGTGGATGGATTCTGAAATGTTACTCTTGAGTGAACTAGTGAGTCACATGTCCATCTCAAACAATTACTGTTAAGAGGATTCGGTGTCATGACTGAACTTGTGTCATACATACTATATGAATCAGGGTGCATTCCTAAATTATGTAAAGTGGCAGATGCTAAGCAGCCGTAGATCAGAGCCCTTGCCTTGAACAAGCTTGTATTTTCTTAGCTTGATAAGTTTTTGGAACTGCCGTGGAATAATAGATGGTTACATTTTGACAATATATTTTTACAATATATGCTATATATTTTTACAATATATGCTATATAATTGGTATACTTGCTTATGGTATAAACAAAGAGTTAAAGAACTATTTTTGCTTTTGATGAAAGGACTCAGGAAAAGAAAGTGTTTTTTTTTGCGCGCGGGGGGGGGGGGGGGGAGGAGGGGGTTGTTATCAGTTATGGGACTTGAACATGGCCTGGGCTCTGTCATTGAGCCTCTTTGTGCTTAACGCTAGCGCTCTACCACTTGAGCCACAACACACCAATTCCAGATCTCATGGGGACTTTTCTGCCTTGGCAGGCTTGGAACTCAGCCTGCTGAGTAGCTAGGATTACAGGCTTGAGTCACTAGCACCTACCAGTTTTTGTTTTGTTTTGTTTTTTGTGGGGTCCGGTTGTGGGCCTGAACTCTGGGCCTGGGCGCTGTCCCTCAGTTCTTCAGCTCAAGGCTAGCACTCTACCACTTGAGCCACAGCACCACTTCCAGCTTTTTTCTTTTTGCTTATGTGGTGCTGAGAAACGAACCCAGGGCCTCAGGCATGCAAGGCAAACGCTCTACCACTGAGCCACCTTCCCAGCCCCACAGTTTGGTTTTTTTTTTTTATATGAAATGCTTCATGAATTTTGCTGTGCTGATCTTGTGTTATTCCAATTTTAGAAACAGTTGTGTATGTGTATATATTGTGTTCCTAAACTCCTGTTCTATCCCAGTCTTAGTAAACACTTGCCCTCTTCGGATAGTATGTCTCTGAAAATAGATGTCGATGCTCTTGAAAATTCTCCTGGTGCTACATACATTCGGAAGAAGGGTGGAAAAGTTACTGGAGATAGTCAACCAAAGGAACAAGGGTATGTTTTTCTTTCTTTTTTGAGACAGGATCTTGCTACATAGCCCAGGCCAGCCTTGAACTCACTGTGTAAGTCATGCTGGCCTAAAACTCAAGATGCTCCTCCATTAGTCAGGTTTCCCAAATGCTGAAATTACAGGTGTGCATCACCACTTTGTGTTTTCCTAATTGAAAACAACTTGTCCTTTTTTCTAAAACATTCTCTCTAATGTTAATTTTAATTAAGAAATAAAAAATACATCCATAAAACTTCCATGTAAGGGCTGGGAAGGTGGCTCAGTGGTAGAGCGTTTGCCTTACATGCATGAGGCCCTGGGTTCAATTCCTCAGTACCACATAAGCAGAAAAAGCCAGAAGCGGTGCTGTGTCTCAAGTGGTAGAGCACTAGCCTTGAGCTGAAGAGCTCAGGGATGGCGCCCAGGCCCAGAGTTCAGGCCCCACAACTGGCAAAAAAAAACAACAAACAAACTTCCATGTAAGTAAAGGTAAATCCTCTTTTGTTTCTTTTTCTTTTATTTTTTGCTATGCCTAGTCCTTATTCCTCATTTGCTCTAACTTCTATATCTTTGTGTGTGTATGTGTTTTGTTTTTGAGTCAAACTCAAAACAAGGCCAGATTGGCCTCTAACTTATAGGTGCATACTGATGGCTCGTGCCTATCATTCTAGCTAATTCCAGAGGCTGAGATCTGAGGCTCACGGTTCAAAGTAGGCTTGGGCAAGAAAATCCATGAAACTTATCTCCAATAAACCACACACACACACACATAAAAAGAAATAGAGGTGAGGCTCAGGGATAGCACCCAGGCCCTGCCTTTAAACTCATTGACCGACAAGAAAAAAACAACCAAAACATTTTTTTTTTCTTCTTCTTCACTCTAACTTTCAGAGTGATTGACTGTTGTTTTGAAATGTTTTCGTGATTTCCTCGGCCCTTTTCAGTATCTTTCTATATTGCTAACATACTTAATAATGGCTTTACGTATCTTAAAAAATTAATAAATTCACAGGATTCAGAGTTTGAAAGATACTGTCTGGTAGTGTAGCTCAGTGATACAACATTACCTAGAATATAGAACGGTCTTGAGTTCAATTCTGAGTATCACTGAAAAAGAAAAAAGCACACTAAAAGGTAAAATTTAACTGGGTCTTCCTCCTACCACTGTCCAATACAATCTTGCCCAGTGTAACTTGTTTGGCATATCTATCCAGAAACAGATTTTTTTAAGGTTTATTATAAAATTTTATTATAGGAAAGATTGAATTCAGTTCCATCTCAGAAACTGGCCTTCCTATTTCTTTCTCTTGGTATTTTGTTACTTTTTTTTTTTTTTTAAACCAGAGACAGTCTTTACAGCTATTTTACTTATCCATTTTTTCTTCTGGTAAAGATTCTAAACTCTTGTTAAATGTAGAATAACTTACTGTATAGTTGTAGATTTTTAAGTTTGTGCAAGTTACCTAGCATACTTTGATTGCTATTCAGATACTTTAGACTCTGCTTAAAAGATAGGTTAGTTAACTGTTTTTAGAAGGTAACCAATTTACATTGGAAAAGTTTTAAATTAAGTTCAGTGTGTACCAGTTAAGTTTTGCTCCATGTAATTGTTACATAGTTTCTAAAAACAATTATTGCCTCCTTTCTAATTACCTTATAAATTACAGTATTTAAATTGTGATTGAATTTAAGTGGTATTAGTATTTCAGTTCGTTTGTTAGCTGTTTCTAAGGCTTAACACCACACTTCTGACAAACCACCCAGTTTGCTCTCTCTTACGTACTTACTATAAGGATAGTAATGATTTTTTTTTCTTGATTTTCAGACAGGGAGATCTGAAAAAGAAGAAGAAGAAAAAGAAGGGTAAGGTTTTTAAAAAAAAATTTTAAGGAGTGTAACTTGAGTTTAATGGATTCAAACTTTTTCCATAATGTTCTTGCACTGGGCAACTGTGAATTTAACATACTAACCTGAGTTTTTCATCAGTAAAATCATATGTCATACTGTAGCTCAAATAATGAAATGAAATATTACTTGTAAAGTCTTAGAATAATAACTACTATGCAGTAAGTCCTTAATACTTTAGGATCTTTGGGGTATAAATATAAAATTCCTTCAATGTCACTTAGAAAAATACACTGTTTAAAAAGTAGTCTTTAAAAAAATGCCACCCCTCCTCTCCCTCCGCTGGGCACCAATGGCTCATGGCTCATACCTGTAACCCAGGATTATAGAGGCTGAACTCTCAGGATCATGGTTCAAAGCCAGCTCAGGCAAGAAAGTCCTTGAGACTCTTATGTCCGATTACAGTAATCATACAAAAAAGGCCAGAAATGGCAATCTGGCTCAAATGGTCTTAAGTGCTAGCCTCAAGCAAGAAGGAGCCCAGGGATAGCACCCATGCCCAGAGTTTAAGCCCTGGAGCAGCTCACCCACCGCCCCTCTCCCCCCCCCCCAAAAAAAAAAAGTTTTCATCAAGGTTGGTTGACTCAGTGGTAGCTGTATCTCTGTTTTTGTTCTCAGAATGTCAGAGAATGTTTGCTGGAAATGGAGCCACATTCTTACCACTTACAGCTAGCAGAACAGATAGGGACTCTGGACTCTGTAAGCCTTACTTGTTAATCTGACTGAGCCAACCAAGTCAATATCTAACCCTTGAACCACTCTCCAAAGAATATTGTACATTAATTGGCGTAGGCTATGGGTAGAATTACTGTGCTTGGCATCATCTAGCCAGAGGTTATTCTTAAAGCCACATATCGGTTCCTGTTTTGGGGGGAAGTCTGAAGTATAAATCAGATTAATTTTGTCCACTACTACTCAGGTTTCCCCTAAGTATTAGATAACTCTATTACCAATGCTCCTGTCTTTTTTCAGCTTCCAAAACTTGCTGACTTTTATTTTTCTCTTCTTCCAATATGTTTATTACCATTCTAGTGAAGCTTAAATGCACAAGTTGCAGGATGCCTGGGGTTCACGCCTATAGTTAGGATTCTAACTGCTCAGGAAGCTGGAATCTGAGTATTGTGGTTCAAAGCCAGCCTGGGAAGACAAATTCTTGAGACTCTGATCTCCAATTAATAAAAAGTAGAAGTGGATCTGTGGCTCAAGCAGTGGTGCAGAGCCTTGAGCACAAAAGCTAAGGGAAAGCCAGGGCCCCAGTACTGGCACAAGAAACATTTTTTTTTAAAGAAGTGCAAAACATTACTCAGCACCTTAGACTGCATGAGTTTGTAAAAGTTCATTCTGCCATCAACCATTTAGGATTTAAAAACTGCTGTTCCCAGTTAGCCGAAACCAGCCCATTGAGTTCAGTGAGGTCCAAAACAGCTGTTCTGAATTCCTGAACCCAGTGAAACACTTGTGAGGTTCACATTGCTCAGCACCTCAAACTGAATTTTTTTTTTTGGGTCCGGTCGTGGGGCCTGAACTCTGGGCCTAGGCGCTGTCCCTCAGCTCTTCAGCTCAAGGCTAGCGCTCTACCACTTGAGCCACAGCGCCACTTCCGGCTTTTTGCTTATGTGGTGCTGAGGAATCGAACCCAGGGCCTCAAGCATGCAAGGCAAGTGCTCTACCACTGAACCACTTCCCAGCCCCTCAAACTGAATTTTTAAAGGGAAAAAAATACAGAGAAAGAGCTAATGTTCACATTCAATCCATTGTCTTAAAGTGTTATTGATTCTTTACTTTTAAGTGTCAGAGTACTCAGATAAAAAGTCAGTACGTGATGGGAAGGGAGGAATGAGAGGGAAAGAGGGAACAGCCTACACTAAGCAAAAGGAAAGAGATGTAAACATCACCTGATGAGGAAAAAATAATTTGTATTGTCAAAGCTCATAGAATTCACAAACTGTATAGACCATGATAATGACAATGTGCCTTGTGAAGGTTAAAATGTCTTTGTGACTTTAAGTATCACTATTCCACAGTACTGTGAAATATGTGAAATTTATGTAATCACCTAATCTCAATTTTTTTTTTAAGTGAGAGAAGGGATGGGTTAGGAGCGATGGGTGACGATATTGTCCAACACCTTGTATACATACACTATTTTGTAGAATGGGAACTTTTTTGCACAACTACTTAAAAATAATTTTAAAAAAGTTTAAGTCAATAAGTACTTATGTATGATTAAGCAAACCAACATACTTGTGACTCAATCTTGTAATCCTAGCTACTCAGAGATAGGAGGATCATGGTTCAAAGCTAGCCCAGGCTTTTATCTTTTTTGGTGCCAAGCCTGGGCACTTTCTTGAGCTTTTGTGCTCTAGGCTAATTAGCACTCATCACTTGAGCCACATCTCCACTTCAAGTTTTTTTGCGTTTTGGTTTTTGATTTTGGGGGGTTTGGGGGTAGTTAATTGGACATAAGAGTCTCACAGACTTTCCTCCTGGACTGGCTTTGAACTGCAGTTCTCAGATCTCAGCCTCCGAAGTAGCAAGGATTATAGGCATGAGCCACCAGTGCCTGGCTTAAATTTTAAATTTTTAGGTAGCTATATCTGTGAAGTCTTTTCCTTTATGGCCTTGAAATATTATGCTTAGAAATAAGGTCTAGATGCCGGACACCGGTGGCTCATGCCTATGATCCTACCTACTCAAGAGACTGAGATCTGAAGATCGTGGTTCAAAGCCAGCCTGGGCAAGAAATTCCATAAGACTCTTATCTCAAATAAACCACCAGAAAACTGGAAGTGGCACTGTAGCTCAAGTGGTAGAGCACTTGCCTTGAGTTGAAGAACTGAGGGACAGCACCCAGGCCCAGAGTTCAAGCCCTACAACTGACAAAAAAAAAGAAAGAAAGAAGGTCTAGATTATATAAATCAACTTTCTCAGACAAATTTTATTTGTAGTCTTTACTCCTTATACTGTTTAAACAAATAATCAAAATACTAAAGGTATATTCTCATTTTTTTAACATTTGTTACATAGGAAAGCTGCCTAAGAATTATGACCCAAAAGTCACCCCAGATCCAGAAAGGTGGCTACCAATGAGGGAACGCTCTTACTATCGAGGAAGAAAGAAGGGTAAAAAGAAGGATCAGATTGGAAAAGGGACACAGGGAGCTACTGCAGGAGCTTCATCTGAACTGTGAGTTACAACATCACAATAGAGGTCTCTTACAATATGTACAGTACGGATTATTTCTGAGATTGCCTCAAGGGTATTAGTGAGAATCTACTTATTTACATATCTGTGTATATGTTTATACACACATATATATTTACAAATATAATTTTCTTTTTGTCATGATGGTAGTGCAGTTTGAACTCAGGGCCTTGTATTTGTTAAGGAAGGGCACTAACATTTGAATCACTCTGCAAGTTATCTTAGGTACATGTTTGCAATGTAAAAACTATTGTAGGGACTGAGGGTAAAGCCCAGTAATGGTGTTTTGCTAGCATGCACATGCCCTAGATTCAATCCTAGAACCACATTCAAAAATGGATAGTTAGGTAGGTAGATTTAAAATATTTCTACATGCAGTTATAGATCATTTAATTCTCTATTTTTTTATATTTCTAAAAATGGGCATGTATTATATATTATTTTTTCTTTCTTTGCAATTTTTTATTAGCATACATTAGCTATACAGTGGAACATTCCATTGTGACATTTCCACAAATGTATACAGTGTTTCCCAGTCTTCCTTCCCCATGGCACTCCCTTAACGCTTCTCTATTATTTTTTTCTTTAGTTTTAAAATAGTGTAAACATTTTATTGAAAAGAAAAATGGGGAGTGAGTTGGGGTATCCACTCTGAAAGAAGTGGAAAAGATATAGGAGCTTCTTAGCTGTAGAAAGTAAAGCTATTGCTCATACATTTTTATACTCTTTTCCTTTGTTAAATTTCCAAATAATCAAAACCTTTGTGGTCTGATGGTTTCAGAGATGCCAGTAAAACTGTGAGCAGCCCACCCACCTCCCCCAGGCCTGGCAGCGCCGCGACAGTATCTGCCTCTACAAGTAACATCATACCCCCAAGACACCAGAAGCCTGCGGGGGCTCCAGCAACCAAAAAGAAGCAGCAGCAGAAAAAGAAAAAAGGAGGAAAAGGTGGCTGGTGATTAAAATGTTCTTGTTGGAGGCTGTTTTTAAACTAGTGACACTAGGAACGTAATAAAGGTAACACAGCAAGAAGCACAGAACTGCTCTCTTCCATCCCCACATTTTCATATAATAATTTCTTAAGCATCCAGTAGGAAAATATCTTCTTCAAACTGCATAGTCAGACTTGGCCAACTTGTACCACCTAGCTTTCGGAGTGTGAGGACTGAACATGATTGGGTGGCTACCTACCTAGGTATCTGTTGCATCCTTTATCTTTGTGTGCTGATTCATTTTTTCCTTTTTACAAATAAGGCAGGTTATATGATTTCCCAGGATTTAAAAAGAAACTTCCTACTGTTTTAACTGGAGTCTAAAACACTTGTTCCTATTTATGTCCCACTTTAAATTATGTCTTAAGGAGGCCCTAAGCGACTAAAAGTAACATCTTCTAAGCATTCCAAATATTTGTTTAGAAATATCATGTGATGAAAGGGACCTTAGTAAGAACCAGTAACATTCTCCACTTAATGTAACCACAAAAAGACCAAACTAAATGTCTGAATTTTAACCGTGCATTTTCTGGCATGTGATACTGGAATGTGGGCTATTTTATTTATATATGAAAAGTATTATATGGTCCTTTCTGTCCCTAATCATTTTCAGATTATGTTAATATGCTGATTCAGCAGCACCATTGAAGACCTCAAAACAAACAAACAAAAAACTCCATCAATGTTACAAGTAGTTGACTTTTAGACCTAGTGGTCTGAAGTCAGATGAGTTTGAACTGTCAATCAGAAAGATATAATGGCCCCTATCAAAAACACAGACATTGACTTCATTATGTAAAGAGGAAACAGTATCAGGCAGTATTAAAATTTAATGAGTGTTTGGCCCAATTAATTGCTACTCAAATGGCTCTTTTTTCTATTTACTGGCTATAACCATTCATTGCCATTCTCAAAGTGATAAATGTATTTTACAGTTGGTGTGTGATGTAAATGCTGCTCATGTCTTTCCTTGCTTACAAGCCACCTTCACATTCTACATCTGAGACACACATTGGGATGCATACCCTTGTTTAGTATTCATTTTATGCTGCCCAAGATACCATTTACTTTAGAATTCTATTTCCTTGTGATCAGATTACTCTGTTCTTGTTAATAAAGTGCTGCTGTGTTTGACTGAACATACCTACTGAAACTTTGAATTTTTTTTAAAAAAACAAACTTCTCTTTTACAAGAAATGGGTGCTGCCTTTCATTTAGTATAATCAGAATCTGCATTTGACATCTAAACATCTAAAAATGATTTATTAGGCATAATACTTTTTTGAGCGTCACAGAGAATAGTCTGGGTAAGAATTATTCCCCATTAGAGGAATAATTATAAATAATTACGTAGGTCCATTAATTTTTTGTGGTTAAAGATAACTAATTTTCTAGGTTAACTAAGCAACAGAATCTTGTGAAGATGATTTATCATTGAAATTTTTGACCCAAGACATGGTGAAAATTAAAGATCCCATTTAGTTTTTGTTATTAACAGCCATTGATATTGTTAGTCCTTGCTAAGGAGCTGAAGCCTCAGTACACATAAGTTATTCAAATGAAGTGGAAACATCTACATTAACTTTCTACTATTTGTGTTCTCTTTTGGACAGGCGTTTACCCAGTGACATATATACTTTGTATATACATGTGTGTATGTGTACATTTATAAAAATCAGTGTGGATATATTCACTGTGGCACATTTTAAAATAAAATATTCTAGCAGTGAATATGGATACAGGTGTTTTGGGTGTTGGGGTTTTTGGAGTACTTCCTGGTTAGTATATCTCTGTGTGTGTGTGTGTGTGTGTGTGTGTGTGTGTGTGTGTGTGTGTGTGTGTGTGTGTGTGTGTGTGTTTGTGTTTATGTCTGCACTAGCGTATGAAGTCTGGGCCTTGTACTCTTGCCTAACTTTTTTGTTTAAGGTTGAGTGTTTGATAATTAATTGGAGATAAAGAATCTCACATGCTTTTTTTGCCCAGTCTGATTTTGAACCTTAGGTCTCTGTCCCAAGTAGCTAAGATTACAGTTTAAGCAACTCAGGCACAGCCTGATTGGTATATCTTAAGAATTTTTTAACCTGAATATCTAAAATTGTCCCCTAACCTTCTCATCAAAGCCACAAAACTAATGGGATGGGAGAACCTCAGTATTCCACTGAAAAGTTTTCATGCTTGTAGGTATATAAACAAATAGAGGCAAGTGTTTTTTTTTGGGGGGGGGTCCGGTCGTGGGGCCTGAACTCTGGGCCTGGGCGCTGTCCCTCAGTTCTTCATCTCAAGGCTAGCGCTCTACCACTTGAGCCACAGCGCCACTTCCAGCTTTTTTCTTTTTGCTTATGTGGTGCTGAGGAATCGAACCCAGGGCCTCGAGCATGCAAGGCAAGCGCTCTACCACTGAGCCACCTTCCCAGCCCGAGGCAAGTGTTTTTTAAGGTCATTACATAGCATCTCAAATGGGGCTGGCGGGGGGTGCGCATACTTGTTCTAGTACTGGAGCTTGAACTCAGTGTCTGGGTACTGATCCTGAGCTTTTTTGTGTAAGACTAGCATTCTGCCACTGAGCCACAGCCTACTTCTGCTCTTTTGGTGCTTAATTGGAGAGAAAAGGCTCATGAGTCTTCTTATTTCCCCTGGCTTTGAACTGTAGTTCTCAGCTCAGCCTCCTAAGTATCTAGGAGTGGCTCCGTGAGCTACCAGAACCTGGCTTCAAACATTTTTTTAAGGTCATTAAGCTTAGTAGTTGTAAGACAACTGAAAATACCTACCATAAGCTGTGACGTTAGCTACTCAGGGGGCTGAGATCTGAGGATCATGGTTTGAAACTGGCCCAGGCAGAAAAGTTCCCCTTGAGACTCTTAATCTCAGAACCAGAAATGGCTCTGTGGCTCAAGTAGTAGAGCTCTAGTCTTGAGCCCAAAGAGGTACATTGACAGTGGCCAGGCCCTGAGTTCAAGCCCCACAACTGACCAAAAAATAAATACTGGCATCACTGAGCCTTCTGGAATTGCCATTCAATAATTGTTTTGGGGTTTTTTTTTTTTTGGTTTTTTTGATCATGGGGCTTGAACTCTGGGCCTGGGTGGGCACTGTCCCTCAGCTCTTCAGCTCAAGGGGAGTGCTCTACCACTGGAGCTACAGCGCCACTTCGGTTTTCTGGTGGTTTATTGGAGATAGGAATCTCACGGTCTTTCCTGCCCAGGCTGGCTTTGAACTACAATCCTCAGATCTCAGCCTCCTGAGTAGCTAGGATTACAGGTTTGAGCCACCAGTGCCCAGCTCAATAATTGTTTTTTACAGGCCTATTTGAAGCATATCTGAGAATGTAAAAACTAAAGTATTTGTTTTTTATCTTCTACTGAGCTCTTGTGCCTGACTAGGCTACTGAGCTATAGCTTACCCAGGTGCTGGTGGCGCATACCTGTAATCATTGTGACTCAGGCGGCTGAGATCTGAGAATCAAGGTTCAGAGCCTGCTCTGGCAGAAAAGTCTGTGACACAATCTTCAATTAACCACTGGAAAACCAGAAGTGAGGTTGTGGTTCAAAGTGGTAGAAGGCTAATCCTGAGCAAAAAAGCTCAGGGACAGTGCGAAGTCCCATGACCAAAACTAAACAAAACAAAAACCTTATGTTGGGTGCCTAATTTACCACATACAGATCATTAGGGATGACTAGACAATGGCCTGATTTGGATTTTGATACCAAGCCATACCAGGATCCTGACAAGCTACTTAATTTTCACATTTTTTTTTTAAACTCCAGGGTTTTGGTTGTTTTTTTTTCTAAGCAAATTATTTACTTTTTTGTCCTCAATCCTGAATCACAACTCAAGATGGAAGGCGGAGAGATGCACTACCTTGCCTGTGAAAGGCTCCTCCGGGTTGTGAGCTGGAGGGAATCTGGGAGTATCAGGACTTGTCCTGCCTGGCTAGGTGGACTGGCAGGGCAGGCGCTACAGCTGAAGCCATAAGGATCAGGCACTAAGATGGCTTGGGACCCCTCCTTCATAGAAAACGTTTCTGCCATACTTTGACCGGGCAGAATCATGCCAGGGAGTAAGTGACACAGTTATCCTACAGTGAGCCTGGTTCACTTGGCTCTCCCAACTCTAGACTGGACCCCTGCCCTTCCCGCTTTCATTCGGGGCTTCTGAGAGTCGGCCTCGCTCGGGGCTAGCACCCCTGGAGACCGGGGTGTGGCCCCCGCCCTGGGCCCACGTCACCGCCCCGCGCCTCCCTGGCCAGCCACACCTGGCCCGACTCAGAGTCACCGCCCCAGCGCGCTGGCGCGCTGAGCGGGGGAGAGGAAGGACGCCCGGGTAGGTGGGGATGGACAGGGGGAAAATGAAAAAAGAGAAGGGAAAGGAAGTCGAGAAAATTAAGGGAAGAGGACGAGAAGAGAAAAAGAAGGAGGTAGACATTAAATTCAAGGAGAAGGAAAAGAAGGGGAAGGAGAAAAGCCGGGAGGTGATCGTGATTAAGAGGAAGGAAGATGAGAGGAGGAAGGAGCCAGTGAAGACCATGGAGAAAGCGAAGGAACAATTTAAAGGCAAGCAAGAGAAGAACAACGACGGGGACACCTTGCTCACTACCCTGCCCCCGCCGCCGGCTCCGGAGGTAAGAGCCCCCCCGGGCGCCCGGAACCTGCCTCCAGGAACCGGTCTCCAGGCCGTTGTCTGCCGGGCTCTGTTACGTGTTCCGCCCCGCGGAAGGGAACCGGGGCTCCCCGACCGCTTTCCCTCCGGATGGAAAGGGACCAGCCGGGCTTCGAACTTCCCACCACCAACCCCCAGCCCTCACTCCGGCCTAGCTTCACCCCTGCCCTACCCCTGGTCAGCCCGCGGGCGGGGGACCTCCCGAGGCACAGGATTTCCGAATGTACCCCAACTGTCTTTCGGGGCTCTCTGTACTTGTTCATCAGCACTGGCTTCTGCCACTGACTACCAGCACCCCGAAGGGAGGGTGACAAACGCTTCCCTGACAGGTCTCAGATGATGGCCCGGCGTCCCCGAAGTTCCTGCTGGCTCCTTCGCTGCTTTCTGGCTCTAAACCTTTTGAGTTCTTAACGGAGACTTGGTCTGTGCTAAAAACAGAGCCATAAATGACCAAAGAACTTTGGACAGAGGACATAATGTTCACAAATACACATTTTGCGCTTGAACTCTTGACTCACAATGACCTCAGCGTTCCCTAGCATATGATTCATAGTATTTCTATTTAAAATGTTTTTATTTAAAATGTAAACACAATTTCTATGTTATTGGTTTGATTTTGATGGTGAAACTTGAACACAGGGCCTCCACACTTGTGGTCTACCACTGAGTCCAAAGCCCGTATTTTAGGCTGGAAACATAAGCAGAAGGTAAAATATGAGGGCACAATTGCTAGATTGGATAGGGTGTCAGGGCGGCAGTGTGACTGGCTGCTATCACTGAGTAGTGACTGTGTTTAACACAGTATGTAATAAGGTCCAGGATACCATTATTTCAGGTATCATTGTGAAAGAAAAAGTGCTGCCTGTCAGAGCAAAACGCATCTTATTTTCAGAAATATTAAAGTAGAAGGATATTCATCTTGAGTGGAGCCCTACTAGAAATTGGAGGAATTCTTACCCCATAGTTATTTTTTTATCTTCTTGTTAAAGCTTTTATTAGTCATATAGAGGGAGATTCATTGTTACATTTCCACACGTTTATAATATTTTCCAATCAACCTCACTCCCTCAATCACTGTTCCCCACAGCCATTTTTAGTGCCAAATGTGCAATTTGAAACCATCCAGGGAAACTTTTTGTGCTCAGAATGGCACCGTGGAACTTAGATATGGATGGGCAAGGGGGTGGGGGGAAAATGGTGGAGGTATGAAGTACTCAAAAAAGTATCCGTTGCATCTAGAAATACTATTTGCATCAAGAACTCACTCCAAGAACTTGTACTTTTTTTCTTCTTTTCTTTTTCTTAATGTTTTGGGCTGGACCTCTGAGCCTTGGCTTTTCTCTCTCATGGCTCTATCCTTCCCCTTGAACCTCACCTCCAGATTTTTTTGTTTTTTTGTGCTGATCAATTGGAGATAAGAGTCTAATTTTCAGATCTCAGCTTCCTGAATAGCTAGGATTATAGCCATGTTTCTTGCTAACTTTTCTCTGAGGTGGACATTGACTCAAGATCTTTTTTGTTCTCTACCTGTAGCTGAGATCATAGGTATACATCACTGTACCTGGCCCTAGGATGCTTCTTTTTAAAATTTGTTTCCAGTGTACCAGATTTTAACATTAGGTTTTAAAACAAATACTCCTGTTATTGGGACTGATTAAACTATTTCTATAAATTTAACTTTTTCACTTAATCATATTTACATTAAAAACATAAGAGGAAACTTGTAATTAACTTATCCAATTTTACAGGCAAGACAGATTAATAATGATGAACTTTTAAATGCTTGCATGCTGGTTCAGTACTTGAACCACCTAGGTCCCAAGATCCCAAAGAATGCACTGAATTCTGCTGCAGTTGACAAAAGATGTAAATTCAAGAAACAAAGTCTGGAAAAATGACTCTGAGATCAAGGATACTTGTGTAAATATGTGTTAAACATATTTTGTGTAAATACTTGTGTTATTATGTATCTGGGTTTTATATATATGTATATGTATATAAAATATAACTTTGTATCTGGGTTTTATATATATATGTATAATATAACTTTATAACATACATATTTAATAGACTGACCAAGACTTGGAGTTGATAAGAGATATGAGATAAATATCACATAAGTAATAATGGCAGATTAGAAGATGTTAACTGGTTGGTACTGTTTGGTTTAGACTTACTACATTTTTTTCATTGTTCTATTATGGTTTGCAACTCCATCTGCTCCACCATAGGGGGCAGAAGTCAAGGAATCAAGGCCCTAATAGTACAAGTTTTTCAGTTTATCTTTTATTTTACAGGAGAAAAATAAGATCCTCGTACTCGGCCTGGATGGAGCAGGAAAAACCAGCCTCCTCTACTCTCTAGCGTCCCACAAAATCCAGCAGAGTGTCACACCCACCCAGGGTTTCAATGAAGTTTGCATTACCATTGACAACAACCAAATGAAGTTCCTGGAAAGTAAGCTCTGTCTCATTAGTTTGGGGATAGCCATTTTCATCTTAAGTCAGATATGCTATGATCAACATTGAGACCCTCAGAAAAGTAGTACTGGATCAGGTTTTCCTACATTTTTAGGCTTCACATGTAGTTTAATACCAAGGTGTCTGGGACAGGGGAGCACTTTCTCCGTGTGTGTGTGTGTGTGTGTGTGTGTGTGTGTGTGTGTGTGTGTGTGCACCAGTGTGTGTGTGTGTGTGTGTGTGCGCGCGCGCGCACCAGTACTGAGGCTTGAATTCAGGGCCTGGGCACTATCCCTGGGTTTTTTTTGATCAACACTAGCACTCCACCACTTGAATCCCAATTTCACTTTCAACTTTTTGATGATTATTTGGAGATAAGAGTCTCAGACCTTCTATTTCAGCTGGCTTGGAACTGTGATCAACAGATCTCAGCCTCCTAAGTAGCTAGGATTATAGGCATGAGCCACAGGAGCCTGGTTGCACTTTCTATCCTTTTTAAAATGTTCTACATTTTTCGAAAAGAAAAATCAAAGAAATAGAGAAAGAAAAGAAAAACTGAGCCAGGCATGGTGACTTACACCTATAATCCTAGCTACTCAGGAGGCTGAGATCTGAGAATTTCAGTTCAAAACCAGCCCTGGCAGGAAAGGCCATGAGACTCTTATCTCCAATAAACCACTCAGAAAACCAGAAGTGGCGCTGTGGCTCAAGTGGTAGAACGTTAGCTTTGAGCTGAAGAGCTGAGGCACAGCGCCCAGGCCCAGAACTCAAGCCCTACAACCAACAAAAAAAAAAAGAAAAACTGAAAGAAAATAGACCTGTTGATATCCTTACTACACAGCTGTAACATTGTTCACATTGGATTATATTCATTTTATTCTTTTTCTGCACATAGATTTCTAAGGTAGGCATTCCAAAGTATGCAGTTTTGCATGCTTCTTCATTAGCATATGCATTGTAGAATATTACCCACATAACTAAGTGAATTCCAAAACAATAAAATCTAAAAAAAAATCTCCATTTTTCAATGCTGGTGAAAAATGCAGAGTTTAAAGGAAAGCTTTAGCATTCCCTCCTATAATCTTATAACCATCTCACTGTCTCCTCATTACTGTAAATACATATGTAACCTAAGTGAGTACAGTATGGTTCCTTCCCAGCAAGTGCTCAGATCACTGCTGTAATGGTTTTATTTTTACTTTCATCGACTTTCAAAGAGCACTATTTCAATACTTATATTTGTTATCTTAAAACCCTTTAAGTTACTTTTTTTTTGTCAGTTGTGGGGCCTGAACTCTGGACCTGGGAGTTGTCCCTCAGCTCTTCAGCTTAAAGCTAGTGCTCTACCACTTGAGCCATACTGCTACTTCCTGCTTTATCTGCTTATGTAGTACTTAGGAATCGAACCCAGGACTGATGCATGCAAGACAAGCACTGTACCACTGAGCCACCTTCCCAGCCCCTAAGTTTCATTTTTAAATAGCCTTTTACCTTATTCAAAGATAAAAGTATAGTGGAGATTTAAAATACTCAGAACTGAGTCATTGTTGAAAATGGAAGTTCCACAAATCTACAAATCAAAACTGGCATGCCAAAAAAAAATTTGGAGAGTTATAATCTTAAGTGATAATAGCAAAGAAAAACCTGAAAATTTATAGATTAAATACACAATTTAGACTAATCACACTCACACACACACACACATACACACACACACACACACACACAAGAATAGCAACAATGGGGCTGGGAAGGTGGCTCAGTGGTAGAGCGCTTGCCTTGCATGCATGAGGCCCTGGGTTTGATTCCTCAGCACCACATAAGCAAGAAGAAAAAAGCCGGATGTGGCGCCGTGGCTCAAGTGGTAGAGCACTAGCCTTGAGCTGAAGAGCTGAGGAACAGCGCCCAGACCCAGAGTTCAGGCCCCACGACCAGAACCCCCCCCCCAAAAAAAAGAATAGCAACAATAAAACCAAAGAAAGTAAAAGGAAAGAGATAATTTAAAAAGCAAACAACCAGCAGGGATTAGTGGTACATGCTTGTAATTCAGCAGTCTCTTGAGAGGTAGAAACAGGAGGATTATAAATTAGAGAGCAGTCTGAGCTACATGGTGAGATCTTGTCTTAAAAATGCCAAACAATGAATGGGCTGGAAATGTAGCTTAGCAGTACAGTGCTTGCTTAACAAGCATGAAGCCCTGGGTTCGATTCCTCAGTACCACATAAACAGAAAAAGCCAGAAGTGGCGCTATGGCTTAAATGGTAGAGTGCTAGCTTTGAGCAAAAGCAGCTCAGGGACAGTACGCAGGGCCTGAGTTCAAGCCCCAAGACTGACAAAAAAAAAAAAAAATGCCCAACAAGATGATGGATGCTAGTGGCATGCACACCATAATCCTAGCAACTCAGGAGGCTGAGATCTGAGGGTCATAGTCCAAAGCCAGTGCAGGCAGGAAAGTCCATGAGACTACCAAAAAGTCAGAAGTGGAGCTGTGGCTCAAGTAGAAGAGCACTAGCCTTGATCAAAAAGCTCAAGACTGACCAGGCACCGGTGGCTCACGCCTATAATCCTAGCTACTCCGGAGGCTGAGATCTGAGAATTGTGGTTCAAAGCCAGCCCAAGCAGAAAAGTTCGTGAGACTCTTATCTCCAATTAGCCACTCAGAAAACTGGATCTGACACTGTGGCTCAAGTGGTAAAGGGCTCACCTTAAACTGAAGAGTTCAGTGACAGTGCTCAAGCCCAAAGCTCAAGCTCCAAGAAGGGAAAAAAAAAAAAAAAGCTCAGGGCCAAAACTCAAGTCCCAGGACAGGCACAGAAAACACATAAACAGCAAGCAAGCAAGCACGGTGGATCACTTCTTGGCCTTCTGGTTAAGATCGAGGATAAGTGTCTGTTAGCAACTGAATATATAATACATCATAAATGGATCTATGGAGTAAGAATAAAAATGCTTCATCCACTCAACACATCAGCACTCATGTGCATGCACACACACAACATTTAAAAATAAAAAAGAGGGCTGGGAAGGTGGCTCAGTGGTAGAGCGCTTGCTTTGCATGTCTGAGGCCCTGGGTTCGATTCCTCAGCACCACATAAGAAAAAGCTGGAAGTGGTGCTGTGGCTCAAGTGCTAGAGCACTAGTTGTGACCTGAAGAGGTGAGGGACAGCACTCAGGCCCAGAGTTCAAGCCCCACGACTGACCAAAAAGAATATTTTAGAGTAAGTGTATTTTAACCTATCTCCTTTAATGATCTAATTACCGGCTTCCATTTGACTATGCAGCAGCTGCTGGGTCTGCTGTGGGTAACGGAAGATAACTATCAGAAGACTTTAGTGGTTGGTTCCAGAATGAAGAGTAGTTATCCCTAATGACCAAATGTTCCCCAGTAATACCCTGCTGGGCACTTAGAATTGTCTTCATTCTGGCACTGTGACAAAATGTTTTGATATCTTCTTCCTGTCTTGCTTTCTGCAGTTGGTGGTAGTGAACCTTACCGTTCCCAGTGGGAAATGCACCTGTCCAAGGGATTGCTGCTCATCTTTGTGGTAGATTCAGCAGATCATAACCGATTAGGAGAAGCTAAGAAATATCTTCATCAACTAATCAAAGCAAACCCAGTCCTGCCTCTGGTTGTGTTTGCACACAAACAGGTAAAAATCTATATAGATAGAAGTTGTATTGAATAGCTTTAGTATTAAAAAAAAAAAAGTGTAGCCGGGCACTGGTGGCTCACACCTGCAATCCTAGCTACTCAAGAGGTTAAGATCTGAGGATCTCGTGCAAAGTCAGCCCAGTCAGGAAAGCCACCAGAAAACCAGAAGTGGCACTGTGGCTCAAGTGGTAGAGTGCTCACCTTAAACTGAAGACCTGAGGGACAGCGCCCATGCCCAGAGTTCAAGCCCCACAACCAACAACAACAACAAAAAAAGTACTTTTAATCGTGAGACATTCAGCATTATGTTATATATTTAAGTGTGGAGAGATCATTATTCATCTTTGTGTGCCTTGAAATACTTGAAATGCCTAGTTTAGTGGTTCACACATGGGAGGAGTTCAGCGTGTATGTTGAACCTACTTCACTAAAAATATGTGTACAAAACAATGAATAAGTCAAGTTTCTGTTAATAAATATTTCATCATTGATCCTATAGAAAAAATCTTGAGGACTTAAGACAATGAAAAAATAATACTAGAAACTGATTAGAAAATTAAGATATTGGGCTGGGAAGGTAGCTCAGTGGTAGAGTGCTTGCCTCGCATGCATGAAGCCCTGGGTTCAATTCCTTAGCACCACATAAGCAGAAAAAGCTGGAAGTAGCGCTGTGGCTCAAGTGGTAGAGCGCTAGCTTTGAGCTGAAGAGCTGAGGGACAGCGCCCAGGCCCAGAGTTCAGGCCCCATGACCGACAAAAAAAAAGAAAGAAAAAGAAAAAAGAAAATTAAGGTATTATATTGACTTAATTTCATCTCAGAAAATAATGTGGATAACCCAAACACTGGAACCATCCTGGTGAAAATATTTACAGTCAGACAGCCACTGACGACATGTTAATGAGGGCACAATATCTTCTGTATTAAAATGGGAGAGTCAATAATAGTAATAACTAAGGGTAACAAGAAATGTATCTGAAAGGATTGCAAAATAACCCATGTTTTTGTTTCCAACCTGGGTGAAGGACCTTGAAGCAGCTTATCGTATCACAGATATCCATGATGCTTTGGAATTATCTCAGGTAGGAAATAACAGGAAACTGTTCTTGTTTGGAAGTCAAGTAACTGAGTGTGGCTCAGACATACCGTCCACTTTACAAGATGCTAAAGACCTGATCGCACATCTGGCTGCAAATTATCAGTGACCAGGACCAGGCCACTGTGTAGTTCATCGTCTAGCTCATCCTGACAAAATGTTGCATGTAGACCCGTTGCCAAAGGTTTCCACTTTCAAATAAAAAATAAGCCATTTCCTATTTTCTCGGTGCATGACATATAGATAATGCTTATTCATTAAAATTATTTCTTAGATTTTGAGCTTTAAAAATACTTGTATATCAGTGTATTTGTGGGAGAGGAATCGGGATTTATTTTTGGTGTCAGGGATCAAACCCACGGCCTTGTACATGTTACACCCACAGACTACCCATTGTGCTACAGCTTCAGCTATAGGATTGGGATTTTTTTTTTCAAGTACCAGATTTTAAACTCAGGGACTTGAACGATCCATTTGTTTGCTTGGATGGTGCTCTTATCACTTGTGCCATGCTGCCTGCCTGGCATTTTGTTGGTTATCTTGGAGATGGAGTCTCATATTTGGAATCTTTTAGACTGGTCTAGCTTGAAACCACAATTCTTTAGGTCTTAGCTAGGATTATAGATGGGAACCACTGGCACCCAGTTTGATTGGAATTAGGACTTCTAATCAAAAGCAAATCAAGCTGGTGTCAGTGGCTCACACCTGTAATTCTAGCTACAATCTGAGGATTGTAGTTCAAAGCCAGCCTTGACAGGAAAGTTTATGAGACTGTTATCTCCAATAAACTACCAAAAAGCTGGACATGGAGCTGTGGCTCAAGTGGTAGAGTGCTAGCCTTGAACAAAAGCAGCTCAGGGACAGAGCCCTGGCCTGGAGTCAGAGACCTAGTACAGCACACATAAAAGCAAATATTGGAAGACTTTGTTGCTTGTGGTTTCATAAGCTTCAGTCAATAGTTGCTTGGCCTCTCATGTGCTTGCACATGGGAACATGTTGCAGATAATATTTTTTCTGTTCATGGCAGCCACAAAAGCAGAGAAAGGGAGAGGAGGGGGAGACAGAGAACAAGACATTGCCTCCTCCCAACCCCCCCCCCCCACACACAGTGATTTGTTTCCTTTGCTTGTAAGTCCCAACTTCTAAAGTTTCCAGAATGTCCAAAATAATGCCACCTGCTTGGGATCAAGCCTTCAGTATAAGAACTTTTAGGGGCCGGGGGGCCGGTGGCTCACGCCTGTAATCCTAGCTACTCAGGAGGCTGTGATCTGAGGATCGCGGTTCAAAGCCAGCTGGGGCAGGAAACTCCATGAGACTCCAATAAACCACTAGAAAACCGGAAGTGGCACTGGCTCAAGCTCTCACCTTGAGCTGAAGAGCGTAGGGACAGCGCTCAGGTGCCGAGTTCAATTCCCACACACACACACACAAAAACTTTTAGGGGAAGAATTCCACCATAACATTCCACCCCAGGGCCACTATAAAGTTCGTGTGCATCTCACAATGCAGAAATCATTTAGTCCATCTTCAGGAGTCCCCATAGTTGTAGCAGCACCATTCAAAACTGCCAACTTCAAAGTTTCTTTTGAGGGTCAAGGCAAACTCTTGGCCCCTGTAATACCAAAAAAGAGTTACATACTCTCAACATACAATAGCATAGAATAAACATTTCCATTCCCAAAGGAATGGGACCTTAGAATGGAAGGATGGGACAAGCAACACTGACACCCATCAGGGCAAATACTAAATCCTGGAGTTCCATGTTCAGCACCAGGGCATGTAGTGTCAGGAGTCCCAATGGGCTTGAGCAGTCCTATGGCTTTGTTGTTTGCAGCCCACAAGGTCTCCCTTGAGCTGGTTCTGCTCATAGCCCATAGCTTTCCTTAGCACTCATTCTACATGCTAAGAATGTGGAATTCTAACATCCTGGGATCTCCCCTGCATCTTCAGCATCACTCACAATTTTAAGCCTCACCTTCTCAGGTGCTGTCTACAGATCTTCTGACCCTGCTACACATTGCCTGGCCTCCTAGGTTTCCTTTGAAGTCTGGGCGAAAGTCTCCACAACCCCATTACACCTATATTCTACATTATGGTAAAAACTATCATCACATGGATGATGCCAGTTTGGGCAGTACCAGCTCCCTTGGTCTATGACTACAGTGTCTACTGATGACTGGACATGAGGAAATACTTCCATAGGGGACTCTCTGGAGCAAAGTATCCCTACAGTGCTTTCTTCTTAAGAGAAGGTGTGGATCTCCAAAATCTTCCAAATTCCTCCTGCAAACCAGTTCCAAAGGCTTAAGAACCATCTAGTCAGGTTTAGTTACCTTACTTCTCTGATGCCAATTTTCTGTTGCAGTGACTAAATATCTGATCAAACTAATAAGAGTTTTTATTTTTTACTGATTTTATTAGATTACATTAGTAATTCCAGAGGGGGATTTTGTCATATTTCCACACATTTACAATATATTCCAATCTCCTCCCCTTTATCACTGTGCCTCTCCTCCAGAGAAGAATTTAGTTAGCTCAAGCTTTCAGAAGTCTGTCCATCAAGGTGGATAGGGTGAGGCAGAGAAGTTCACTTCATAGTGTCAGATACCTGTGACAGAAGCCACTTACCTTGTGGTGACCAAGAGGCACAGAGAGATAGAGCACGGAACTCAAACAAATATAGCCCCCAGGAAATCCCTCAGCCCTCTCTCTCCAGGTAGGTCTCACCTTGTAAATTTTCCAGAACTTATCAGTTTTTTGTTTTGGTTTCGTTTTCATTTGGCAGACAAAAGTTTGAACCCAGGACTTGTAATCAACATGATTGCTCATGGCTGTTGCCATGGGTACTTGAGCCTAGCTTTTTGGTGGTTATTTTGTAGTAATCCCTTCCCAGCAGTATTGAAAGTTTGATCTCAGGACCTCATACAAGTCTGGCACAATACCAATGAGCCACACCTCCAATCCTGGACTGTTATTTTAGAAAAGTTTTGCAGACTCTTCTGCCTGGGGATGGCTTGAAACCTCAGTCCTCTGGATTCCAGCGAGGATCCCGGGGGCCTGGCCACGGATGTTGCCTTTTGACATTTCTCAACATTTTGCTTTTAAACACACGCATTTTCACTATAAACATTTACCTGAAAACAATATAAATCTTTTCACCTGTAGTGCTTTGTCTAGGTTTAAAAAAAATTGGGGAAATGGCTTTGTTCAGGAAATCGTGCCTTTCAGATTTTGGAATCTGGCAGAAATGGTGACCCAAATGTGAAGATGAAGTTCTAATTACAGTAGACATGATTCATCCAGGGCATGTATGTGCCTTTGGAGAGGGTAGATAGGAGCAGCTGCCTTTAATCTACTTTCCTCTTAGTGCTGCAGCATTATATTAAGTGGATCATATGACAATAGCCACTCAGATGTCTATCAGATCTCCGGTAACCTATAGAAGTTTGACTACATTGATTCTGGAATGTTAGCTTCTGCCTCAAGGTTTTCCATGACAGGACCCTGCACACACATTCCTTCATCATCATCCTGAGTCTTCACCCTATCAAAGAATCAAATCCAAAGCATATTGCTTCCACCCTAAACTGACTATATATATATATACTGCCGCTTCCCCGTGGGTTTTCTTTGTTTTTTGTGTTTGGTGTCACTCCTTGGGCTTGAACTCTCAGGGCTTTGGTCCCTGAGGGCTTTTGTGTGTGTGTGTTGTTTTTGTTTTTTTTTGCTCAAGGCTTAGTGCTCTGCTACTTGAGCCACAACTTCATTTCTTCCCACTTCCCAACTCCACAACTTCCTGCTTTTTTGACATTAAATTGGAGATGTATCTCCCGAGCTTTCCTACCCAGGCTGGCTTTGAACTGTGATCCTCGCATCTCACCCTCCTGAGTAGCTAGAATAATAGGTATGAGCCACCAGCATTGGCCTTGCCTGTGTTTTCTAAGGGAATCAGGGACATAAACAAGTTTCTGGAAATGAATTTCAAAGGTGATAGTGTTATACCAGGTCGCAGGACCCCCACCAAGACCACCACCAAGAGTCAGACTTTACAGCTGTTTTAAGGTTTTATTTAAACGGGCTGCAGCTCGGGCCTCGTCCTACACTCCGACACAGCGGAGCCTAGGAGGAGAGCCCCGAGCTAAGGATTTGCAGGGCTTATAAAGGCACACAATCAACCAGGTGTTTAGATTACCACCACATGCTGCTCTGCTATACAGAATTTGCTGATCTTTGGTTTAGTTTAAACAAGCAACAAGTAGTCACTGCCTCAAAACTTTAACCCTTCATCCCCCCCTTGACTTATGGTCCTGAGACACAATCTTGTGGCTCTGGCCCAAAACTAAACTTCAACAGCTCTCCATCTTGAACGGGTATAGTCCCTCTCTGACCTTAGTCATACTAAGAACAATCAGTTCATTTTTCTTTTCTTGAGGCGTATGCGGAGTGGTTGGGTAGGATGCTTGGAGACTTTCCATATTTCCCCACAGTCATCCAGGACAAAGGTGTCAGCCGGTCTGGCATGGGAGCAGTGGATCCACGCAGCAATGCCGTCCACCTTAAGGGCAGTAGGTGTAGCCAGTAGCACCATGTGAGGTCCCTTCCACCGTGGTTCCAGAGATCTCAAGTTGTGCCTTCGAACAAACACCCAGTCCCCTGGTTTAAACAAATGAAATGGGGGTAGGAATAGAAGCAGAATCATATAATGCTCTAAGCTGGGGCCACATACTCTTATGCACCAGCTGTAAATAGTCAAGCTTACACAGAAATTCAGTATCATCCAAATCAGCAAGCAATTCAGTCTGAAGGCTAAGGATAATGGGTGGAGGTTGTCCATACATTATTTCAAAAGGAGTAAAGCCAAGCTGATAGGGTGGATTTCTTACTCTAAACAGGGCAAAAGGAAGGAGCGATATCCAGTCTCCAAGGCCAATTTAGTTAAGGTCTCTTTTAGAGTCCGATTCATTCTTGCTACCTGCCTTGAACTCTGGGGTCTATAAGCACAGTGCAATTTCCAATCCGTCCCCAGTGCCGCGGCTATTCCCTGACTTACTTTTGAGACGAAGGCCGGTCCATTGTCCGACCCGATGGTGGATGGGAGGCCATACCTGGGTTGGATTTCTTCCAGGATCTTCTTAGCCATGACGTTCGCAGTCTCATGCTTTGTTGGGTAGGCTTCAACCCACCCTGAAAAGGTGTCTACAAAAACTAGCAAATATTTATAACCAAATTTTCCAGTTTTAATTTCTGTGACGTCTACTTCCCAATACACACCTGGCCTATCTCCACGGAGGCGAGCTCCTTTTGTAACCAGTTGATTGGGAGCATTGGTGAGCTGACAAGCTTTACAATTTTTAACAATGTCCTCAATGAGTTGATTTCCTTGCCTAATTTTTACTTCTGAGTGTTGGAGCAAGTCCTGCATTCTTCAGGTTCCCATGTGAGAGACCCGATGGATTCTCTTAAGAATCCCTTTGCCCAATCTTTGTGGCAAGATAAGTTTCCCCTCACCAGTTTTCCACCAGTCTTTATTTCCTTCTCTGTCCGGGGTTTATAGGCCATGGGAATTTTCTTTATCCACTCCAAGTCTTCTTGGGAGTACTGAGGCTCAGCAGGCAAAGCTCTTGGCCCTGAGTCTACTAGAGTCAGTACTTCCACTCTGGGCTGGAGGGCCGCCTCCTTAGCTGCCTGATCAGCCAAGTTATTTCCTTTGGTTATAGAATCAGTTCCCTTTTGATGGCCAGGGCAGTGCATAATGGCAATATTTGCTGGTTCCCATATGGCCCAGATGAGGCTTAAAATTTGTTTTTAATAGCCTTTTCCTCAGCTGTCAGCAGCCCCCTCTCTTGGTAAATGGCTCCATGGACATGCACAGTGGCAAAAGCATACCAACTGTCCGTGTAAATGTTTAGTCTCTTCCCTTTTCCCAATTGTAGGGCTTTTGTTAGTGCCACTAGTTTGCTCTTTGTGCAGACGTTCCCTGAGGGAGTGCTTCTGCCCACACTATCTCAGTGTCCGCGGTGACTGCTGCACCCGCGTACCTTTTTCCATCTTGAATGAAACTGCTGCCATCTGTGAACCAGGTATGCTTGGCATGTGATAGTGGCGAGTCCAACAAGTCTGGCCTCTTTTCCTTGGCCCAGTCTCTCTTTTCACGCTCAATTTCACGTTCTCTGTCCTTCCTTTCCTGTCTTTGCTCCTCTGTCTCTCTCTTATTGTAAACCTTTTCCGCTGCAGCTACTAGATCCCTAATAGACTTTTCACCAAGTTTGTCTAGAGCCTGCAACTTTCGCTTTACGTCTGGTGCAGCTTGATTTATATAGGCAAACATAATTATCTGAGCCAACTCCTGGGTCTCAAGATCATATGGGGTATATTGACTAAAAGCTTCCACGAGCCGCTCAAGATATTTGCTGGACTTTCACTTCCTCCCTGTCTAACATCATAAACCTTGGCCATATTAGTAAGTCGGCGAGCCGCTGCCTTGAGACCTGCCAACAGAGCCTGGTGGTAGACGAGGAGTCGCTCCCTACCTTCAACCATATCATAGTCCCATGTTGGTCAGATCTCTGGAAAACAGGCAGCCATCAGGGCAGGATCCATGATGGGCGCTCCTGTGGGGCCAGGGATATGTTTCGGGGCCACCTCTCGGATACGGTCTCTCTCTTCGGTGGTAAAAAGGACCTGTAAAAGCTGACTGCAATCATCCCAAGTGGGCTGATGAGTAAAGAGAATAGTTTCAAGCAAACAAATTAAATCCTGGGGTTTCTCAGAAAAGGGGGCATTTTGGGTGCGCCAATTGTATAGATCACTGGTAGAAAATGGCCAATATTGGAGTTGCTGTTGACCATCCGCATCCACAGGACCTGTGGTGCATAAGGGAAAAACAGCTGCATTAGAAGGGGGGTTGATCCCACGGCGGCAGCGGAGGTGAGGGTTCTATAGCTCCCTCCTCCTCTTGATCATTCTCAGGTTCTGCAAAAGGAACCTGGGAAGGGGAGTATGGGGGAGGAAACATTTCTTCTTTCAAGTTATCTCTCAGTTTCTTTTTGTAAGTCTAGGGGGCTCGATGGAGTGGTGCCCATGGTTTCCAGTCCCGTCAGTTGTTCAGTCCAAAAAACAATAAACAGTACAAACAAAGCACACGCAGGCCTGACAGTTACGAAAACAAGCTTACGAAGTGGAGATCTCCCGAATTGGCCCGCTGACTCCTGTCATGGCGGGGTTCCACACCCACGCCCCACAGCAGAAGGAATAGACCCACAGTGGACGAGTTGGGCCTCAGGAGGCCCTCTTGGTCAGTTCCAGCCCAACACCGAGCTGACCCCCACTCCACAATTCACATGGCGGGGTTCCAAGGACCCCTGCTCCACACGGGGGTTCCAAGGACTCCTGCCCCACAAGAGGAACTGGGACGTCTCCCACTTCCTCCTGGGTTGTCCTGCTAACACATCTGCTTCGACAACCCTTTACACAATACGAATGGGAGCGGCCGTCCTCACAAAGGAAAACGAAAGTATAAACAGACATATGACAGGACAAGACAAATTAACGAAGACAGCGCTGTTTTACCTTTGGAGTCTGAGGTCTCGGGGGTCTTTCGGGGGATCCTGGACAAGCCCCCACTAATATGTTATACCTAGGTGGCAGAAGCCCACAAGAAGACCACGGAGAGTCAGATTCTACAGCTGTTTTAAGGTTTTATTTAAACGGGCTGCAGCTCGGGCCTTGTCCTACACTCCGACACAGCGGAGCCTAGGAGGAGAGCCAGCCCCGAGCTAAGGATTTGCAGGTCTTATAAAGGCACACAACCAACTAGGTGTTTGGATTACCACCATGTGTTGCTCTGCTACACAGATTTTGCTGATCTTTGGTTTAGTTTAAACAAGCAACAAGTGGCCACTGGCTCAAAACTTTAACCCTTCAATAGAAGCTTTTAAGATGAAGAATGAATGATATCTCTATTCTTCCCTGTTCATGTATTTGGAGAATTAACTAGAGTTACTGATTATACGGAGTGTGAGAGAGGGTGATAGAAAAAGAGAATCAAAATGAAGTCAATCTATAGCTATATACTGGTGCCAATATATAGCTGTGGTGTGAACTAGTCATTCTGTATGCTCATTCTGTGTGACCATTACTAATCTCTCCCCATGAAAAGACTCCCTGGGAGGCAGGGTCATGTTGAAATGATGATTACAGGTCACGCTTTCATACCAAGAAGACCTGAGTATAACAGTTGCAGCCAGCTGTCTTAGACTCTCTCCCTCCCTGGGTTATTTGTGGAGGTGAAGGAGGTGTTGCCGGAGACTGATTCCAGGGGCTGTCACATCTATCACCAAGCTATACCTGTCCCAAGCCCCACCCCCTGCAGTCTTTGGGCACAGCCTCTATGACTCGCCTCTTGCATATCCATTGTTAGGAGAATGCCCCTTTCTGATAGGTTGACAGACTTTTCATTTAGTGGTTGGCTAGTTTTACTGCTTAGAGACTATCCTACCTCTTGAAGGTAGATTGGCATAACTCTTTGCTGATTGTTTATAGTTTTGAGTTAGAGGATGCTTTATTACCCTCCTCCCCCTGTGTCCCAAAGGATGCTCCCCACACTGCTTTTGGCCAGTACTAGGGTTTGAACTCAAGGCCTCATGTTCTTGCTTGGCTTTTTTTTTTTTAAGGGGGTGGGGGATCCTGGGACTTGAACTCAGCCTAGGCATTGACCCTGAGTTTTGTTTTGCTCGAGGCTAGAGCTCTACCACTTGAATCACAGCTCCAAGGGCAGGAAATCCTGTGAGATCCTTCTTATAGCTAATAAATCATGGAAAAAGCCAGAAGTGGTTTTGTGGCTAGCACCGATATGCTGCTTCAATGTTAAACTTGTACCAAATATCATACTGATGTCACTCTACCCTTCTAACCCCCATTACAAATGCTGTGCAGTTACTAGAAGCTGATGGCCTTAATGAGTTGAGGGAGAGTCTCCAAATATTGCCAGTCTCTGCATCTGCCAGCCTTTGTTTTGAGTCTGTGCCTGGGATCCTCTGAGACCTAACAAAGATCTGGCTCTTCTGAGTGTCGCGGTAACTACACTGGTAGCTGCAATGCATCAGGGCCTGCTGGACCTAGAGGATGTGAAACTCTTCTCCCTTGACCGGAAACTGAGTCACAACACACAACCAACCCGCCTGGGCTCCGCCCCTCTGAGCGCTGCTGAGGGGGGCTGCACGTCTCCATGGCAACGGGACGTGGAGCAGGGGGAAACTTGGGGCTGGGCTGCTCTTCCAGGGCTGGGCGAATCAGTGAGGACTACTCTGCTGGGAGGGGCGGGGCGTGGTGGTAGGGGCGGGGCTAGCAGGGCAGGGACGGGCGTGGCAGGGCGCAGGCCGCCCCGCCTTCGGCTACGGCTCATATAGCGATCTGCGCCTGTGCAGAGCGCCGCCTAGGCGAGATCTGCACGTGGTGGGTACTGCTTAGAAAGATGGAGGACCTGGAATTTTTGGGTTCTTGCGCAGAGTCTGAGATAACAGAACAGGAAACGACAGATCTATCCGCTTACTCGGACATCTGTCAGAATCCCCTAGTGCTCAGGCTCCTGAACGCACACCCAGAGGAGACTGATGAGGCAGACGAATACGAGGAGACGGAGGAGGACCAGGAAGCAGAGGAGGAGGACGACGACGACGATTTGGAGGTGGTTAAGAGGGCCGACCAGCAAGACCTGGGAGACAAATGCGCCAACTTTGACGAGTCAACCAAATCCAGTGACTCCTTCAAGCTCCACAGAGTCTTTGAACCCTCCTCGCACTTCGAAGCCCCTGCACACTTCAAGGCCTACAAGCCCTCCACGCACATGGAGGCCCTTAAACCTTCCATACACTTCGAGCCACATAGAACCTCCTCACCCCCTAAGACGTTCGAGCCTAGTACACCCCACAAGCTCCAGGGGACAAATGTGGTCCACACGACCCGCAAGGCTCAGGAGCCTACCCTGTCCCTGGAGCCCCTCAAGCTCCAGAAGGCTGAAAAGGTGGACTTGCTTCCTACGGCTACAGTGATACTGTCCCCTTCCCTCATCACTAGATGTCCTCCACGGCTTCCTGAGGCTTCTCAAAGCGGTAGGTGATACCCCCACCTCAGAAACCCAGAACCCCCATCCATCTACACCTTGGGAGGCTTCAGGGGAGGTTTGCTTGCTTGAAATTCCTTTCAGATCCCTTAATTCTAATTCTAACTACCTGCTGCTTTGCAGTCACCTATTTTTGCCCTTCTAGGGACTCATCATAGGAGATTAACATCCTGACTGTAACAGAAACTACGTACTCCATTGAACCTCTATTGACCCCCTGACCATCCTTGATGATCTTTGAAGGCCTTCCTGTACAGCAGGCCACTGCATATGGGTTACATGGTCCCAGAGAGGGAAACAGTCATGGAACAAGTAGTCAAAAAGTGCACTAAAGTCCTCACTATCTTAGTCCTCACTAAGTTCAAAAGATAATAGGACTGAATGGGACTTAGGTATAAACACTCTCCATCTGACCACATTGACCTTCTTTTGTCCACACTGACCTGACCACTCTTTATCACACACTTTCACTGATTCCTTCTCATCTATTCTCAATTCTATGGTTTGTTAGTGCAGTTGGGCCCTTCAATGTCTTCTACTTCATAGCTCTTTGGCTATCCACCATACTTCCAAGAAAACTCCAACCCTGGTTAAACCCAGCAATCCATCCTAAACCTAAGCAGTGACTCCTGCTATACAAAATTGCACAACCGTATTGACTGGTTTCATTACCACAGTTCTTAAGTTGGTCATTTGGTTCTCCCCAGCAAGCTCACTTTATTTACCTAATCAGTAACCTCCACATCTTTGACCCCACCTCCTTGAAGATTTGACTTCATTCTTTATCAAGAAAGTAAAAGCAGTCAATCATGAATTTTCTTACCCCAGGTCTATTTGTCTTATTCCCATCTGTACTCATATTTTTTTTTAAATGTTGGTATCAGGGTTTGAATTCAGGGCTTGGCACCTGTCTCTTAGCTCTTTTGCTCAAGGCTAGTACTATACTACTTTAAGCCATAGTTCCACTTCCTGTTTTCTATGGTTAATTGGAGATATGCCTCTCGAGTTCCTAGGATTATAGGCATGAGCCACCAGTGCCTGGCTGGATTCTGTTTTTTTTTTTCTCCCTCCCATTTGAGGGAGGAATTGTGCTTCTTTGTAAGAACCCAAATCCTCCACTTGTGCTTTAGGTTTTACTCATCTTCTTACAGAACTTTGTCCTATACCCATTTAGTTTTTTTTTTCCTTTCCAATGGATTAGTTCCTTGGCATACACACATATTCTAAAATCTATCATCTTAAGGTGGCCCTTGACTCCATGCTTTCTTCAGAACCCCATCCCTTCCCTATCATCACTGTTTTTTCTGTTACTATAGAACTTGTCAGATGAGCTGTGTATACTCGGTCTCTATTTCCTGAAGCTACTCTAGTTAATTTCCATCCTGTCCTTGTGCATGGAGACTTCAGGATGCCCTGGGTCATCCAACTGGCTTCTCAGTTCTCTAACATCCTTGCTTGGAATGATCTTGTCTTTCATTCCTATCTAAGGCACATACCAAACTTGTTCCTGTTATGCTTCCTGGAAATGCTATGCCATTTCCAGATTCTGTCTCAAGTATGCTTAACCATAATCTATCTTTTCAATTCATTCCTCTGTATCTTCTTTTTTGTTTTAAACTCTTTTAAAATTATTATAAAGGTGATGTCCCGAGGGTGTACAGTTACATAAGTCAGGTAACAATTTCTTTTTGGGCAATGTCACCCCTTCTCTTGCCCTCTCCCAGGTTGTCTCTCCTGTCCCCTCCTATGAGTTGTATATATCTTCTTACAACAAAATTTTATCTTCAAAGGAGCTCTAAGCCAGGTGCTCATGCCTGAAATCCTAACTACTCAAGAGACTGAGATCTGAGGATTGCAGTTTAAAGCCAGCCAGAGCCAAAAAGCTCATGAGACTATCTCCAATTAACTACCAATTAACTACTTGAACCATGGCTCAAGTAGTAGAGTGCTAGCCATGAGCACAAAAGCTTTAGGACAGCACCCAGGCCCTGAGTTCAAGCCCCAGGACTGCCCTACCCACTCCCCCCCCAAAAAAAGTGCCAACCCTTTAATTCTGCTAATCTCTCATTATATAGCATTTACTTTAGGACTTTCTGCCCTTACCTTATCTTTCCAAACTTGCTATCTTTCTGCCTCAATCTCCTGAGTGCTGGGGTTACAAGTATGTACCACGATGTCTGGCTAATTCTTGCTGGCATTATGAAAACATATAAGGACAAGAGAAGGGTAAAAAACCTCACCAAAAACAAAACAAAAATTGAGAATAAAAGAAATCACAGGCTATTTCCTGTCTCTTCACAATGAATCTGTACCCATATATAGTCTGCTTTTTCTCCTGTTATTAGTCAATGAACTGTTGCCACTTCTGTTAAAGGCTATTCCCTGAATCTATACTAGATGCCATCTCATCTAACTTCTCTAAGTTCTTTGTTCCTAAATTAGTCCCTCTTTTTCCTGTATCATATTCTTTTTACTGGGTCATTCCCATTGGCATACAGATACAATAACTCCTGTCTAAAAACCACCAAACACTCAAACACCAGCTTTCTTTTAACTCTATGAATCCATCCATGTTGCACTCAGTTTCTCTATATTTTAAGGGAAAAAACCCTCAAAATAGGTATTATCTTTTTCTCACTCATCTCAAGAACCACTTAGATTATGCTGCCATCCCTCCACTTAGCTGAAATTGCTTTTATTGAGGTCATAATGACCTCTGCCTGCCAAAATTCAAAGGCAAATTCATCCTCATGGTTCAAATTTGACATTTATCTATCTTAGAAATCTTTCATTATTTATTTTCTGGAATACCACTACCTCTACATCCTACCACATGGATTGTTCCTGACTCAGTTTCCTCCACTTCTGAGAGTTTAGGTTGTAGTGACTGATGGCTCAGTCCTCTCAAAGTCTTCTAGAACTTTCCTCATTCACTAGGTGAGATCATCAATTCTATTGGCCTTCATGCTGGTAACATACTCAGTTATCTCTTGTCTCCACTCCAGCCCAACTCTCCTGTTTTCTAACCAATTATTTCTTTAGCCTCTCTACTTGAATGTCTACGAGGCACATGAGATAAAGTGGAAAAAGCCTTGACAACTTTTTTAAAATAGTTTTTTATTGAGATTAAGTGATTACATAAAGTTCACATATTTCACAGTACTGTGGAATAGTGATACTTGGTTAAAGTCACAAACACATTTTAACCTTCACAAGGCAAATTGTCATTATCATGGTCTATAAAGTTTTTGAATTCTGTGAGCTTTGACCATACAACTATTTCTTCCACATCAGGTGATGTTTACATTTCTTTCCTTTTGCTTAGTGTAAGCTGTTCCCTCTTTCCCTCTCATTCCCTCCCTCCCATTACTGTCTTTGAGTTGCTTAGTTCATTTACATAATGTCCAGTGGACAACTTTAAAAAAAAATCTTCCTCCAAGCCATTAGCAAATCCAGAATTTTAAACAATTATTAAGTTGTTGTATAAGGGGTTACAATTCCAGAAGTGAGATGATGAGTACCATGGGATTGGTCAGTGCCTTCCCTTCATTCTCCTTCATTTTCCCTTTCCCATCCCTACCCTCAAGTTACATAGTTTATTTTTTACAAAATGTGCATTGAACATAATGACTATTTGCTCAGAGTTAAGACTTATAAGGTACTTAGAACAGATGATATATGGTAGTATGTTTCCTTATATTACCTCTTGGCAGCGTTTGACACAACTACAACTGACTGGGCAGTCCCTTCTCAAACACAGGTGGCAGGAAGTGGCACTATAGCTCAAGCGGCAGAGCGCTAGCCTTGAGCTGAAGAGCACAGGGACAACACTCAAGCCCAGAGTTCAAGTCGTAGAGTACTACCCTTGAGCACAAGGAGGCTCAGGGACAGAGCCCAGGCCCTGAGTTCAAGCCTCAAGACTGGCAAAATAAAAAAAGAAAGAAATGCTTCCTTAGGTGTTGGAGGCATGGCTCAGTTGGTAGAGCACTAACCAATGAACGAAAGTTCAAGTCCCAGTCTTGGACCTAAAAAAAAGAAGAGAAGAAATATTTCTTTAAAAGACTTATGGTATTGAGTGCTGGTGGCTCACACCTGTAATCCCAGCTACTGAGGAGGCCGAGTTATGAGGACTGTGGTTTGAAGCCAGCCAGAGCAGAAAAGTATGTGAGACTCTTATCTTCACCAAAAACTACCAAAAAATTTGGAAGTGAAGCTGTGGCTCAAATACACACACACACACACACACACACACACACACACACACGCACACACCAACAACAACAGCTTATCAGTTGCTTCAGCAATGCCTCGTGTGTGTGTACTGGGGCTTGGAACTCAGGGTCTCATTCTCTCACTTGGCTTTTTCATTTCCCTGAAGTTACTTTTCCTCACTCTTTGATTTGCAATGTTATCTTCATTCCTATCAAATCTAATTGTTGCTTTCTTTTTCTTTCAGCACGACCTACTTCCTGTGACTTTGTAAAGAAATGGTAAGAGTAGCTCTAGTACTATTTTCTTTTTTTTGGGGGGGGGGTCCAGTCATGGGGTCTGAACTCTGGGCCTGGGCGCTGTCCCTCAGCTCTTCAGCTCAAGGCTAGCGCTCTACCACTTGAGCCACAGCACCACTTTCAGGTTTTTTCTTTTTGCTTATGTAGTGCTGAGGAATCGAACCCAGGGCCTCAGGCATGCAAGGCAAGTACTCTACCACTGAGCCATCTTCCCAGCCCCATCTAGTACTATTTCACATAAGGAACTTGGTGGTCAGCCAAGCTGGTGGGGGCTGAATCATGCAGGCAGAAAGGAGATCTATCCTGGAGTCTCCGCCATGGAGATCCCTCTGCTTTCCTTTGCCATAGGCCCTTTTTGAATCACAGTTCCTATGGGACAATGAAGTAAGGAGTTCCCTGTGGTGAAGGACAGCCACTCAGATTTTCACTGGCTTGCTAGACTCTGTAGTATATTTGTTTAATAGAAAAGATGAGCCTTCCAAGAACTTAAGACAATCTCATGTCATCGCTTTTGGGAGGTCCTAGGTTAGTAGACGTCAATCCTATCCTGGCCTCTAGTTTAAGTACAGCAGTCAGTTAAATCAAGAAAGTTATGTCTAAGCTGAGCACTAGTGGGTCACACTTGTCATTTTAGCTACTCAGGAGGCTGAGACCTGAGGATCTACTTTAGAAACCAACCAGGACAGAAAGCTCCATAAGTCTCTTCACTTAACCAGCAAAAAGCTAGAAGTGGCTCAAGTGGTAGAATTCCAGCTATCAGCAGAAAAAAATCCATTAAGATCAAGTCTAGTATTGGCCAAAATAAAAATAAAAAAGATGAAGGAAAGAAAGAAATATAGAGAGAAAGAAACAAAGGAAAGAAAAGAGAGAAAGGGAGGGAGGGAGGGAGAGAGGGAGGAAGGAAGGAAGGAAGGAAGGGAAGAAAGAAAAAGAAAGGAAAGAAAGGAGAAAAGAAAGGAAGGAAGGAAGGGAAGAAAGAAAGAAAAAGAAAGGAAAAAAGGAGAAAAGAAAGGAAAGAAAGAAAGAAGAAAAGAAAGGAAAGAAAGGAAGAAGGAAAGAATTTACTCTTTTAAGAAGTAGTTTGAGGGGCTGGAAGGTGGCTCAGTGGTAGAGCGCTTGCCTTGCATGCCTGAGGCCCTGGGTTCGATTCCTCAGCGTCACATAAGCAAAAAGAAAAAAAGATTCTAGTGCTGTTCCTGATATATGACATTTATCTAAAAGGTATAATTGAATGAACAAATGAAGAATTAAATAAATAACCAAGATGCTGTAAAATTCTCAGATAAGAGGAAACAAACTTCTCAGGGGCACTGAAGTTGTAATAAGGCAAGCCTCACAAAACATACTGAATTAAATATGTGTGAAATGGATTTTGAAGGATGAATATAGCTGATGAGTAGGTAAATAGGACCAACAGGAGAAGAGTATTGTAAAGTAGTGGGAAAGCGTAAGGAAACATCTACAGAAGCACAAAGATGTAAACTGTGGTTTGATAAATAGCAAGCCCAATGTGGCCATGGAATATAGCACCCTGCGGACAGGGTAGATGGGAAGGTATATTTCGCTCTATGTCAAAGGCTGTGGATGTTATGGCTAAATGTATTTTGCCCCGAATGATGGGACGTCATTAAAATCAATAGGCAGGTGAGTAGTTGAGATTCAGAATAATTCGGTACTATAATCTAGAGTATAACAACTCCAGGTTAAGGAGAGAAACTAAGTTAAGTAGTTCAAGGACACCCTGCAAGGGACAATGATTCCATGTTAAACACAGTCTTCAGGTGTGTCAATGACCTTGGGCACAGGTTGGCAGTGGTTTGAGAAAGCCATTTCTTTCTTTCTTTTTTTTTGGTCGGTCATGGGGCTTGAACTCTGGGCCTGCCTGGGCACTGTCCCTCAGCTCTTCAGCTCAAGGCAAGCACTCTACCACTTGAGCCACAGCGCCACTTCTAAGAAAGCCATTTCTTTATTATTACTATTGTTGTTGTTGATGTTGTTGTTATTATTATCTTAAGTAGTTGTACAGAGGTTTTGATTCAATATATCAGTTTATAAGCACAAAAAAAAAAAGGAAAAAGCCGGAAGTGGTGCTGTGGCTCAAGTGGTAGAGCGCTAGCCTTGAGCTGAAAGCTGAGGGACAGTGCCCAGGCCCAGAGTTCAGGCTCCATGACCGGACTCACAAAAAAAAAAAAAAAAAAGTAGTTTGAGGGGCTGGGAATGTGGTTTAATGGTAGAGTGCTTGCCTAGCATACATGAAGACCTGGGTTCGATTCCTCAGTACCACATAAACAGAAAAAGCCAGAAGTGGTGCTGTGGGTCAAGTGGCAGAGTGCTAGCCTTGAGCACAGAGAAGCCAGGGACAGTGCTCAGGTACTGAGTTCAAGACCCAGGACTGGCAAGAAAAAATTTTAAAAAGAAGTGGGTTGAAATCACTGTATTTTTATTATTGTTTAACCACTACAGTTAAATTTATTGTTTTCATTTATTTTGTATTTTCTATTTCCTATGTCTTGTAGTTCTTTTTTTTAAAAGCTGTTACCAGTGGTAGACACTATTGCATATTTTTGTGTAATGCTTTTCCGTTTTCTAAGTACTTTCTTACAAGAAATCTGAAAAGTAGGATAGGGCATATGTGTCAGTTAGCAATTACCAAGAGGAGATGGAATGCAGAGCAGTATGTTGTTTGCCCAAGGTGGTCTCAGGGTGGCTGAGGGGAGACGTCAGGAATAACAGTTACTGGATATTACAGGTATTCATTCCTTAGTCCACATGACTTCAGATGAGTAATATCTGCAAAGTGAGTAAACTTTCCAGTGGCAGTGAAAATAGTTTGTACTCACTTAAGTTGTTGGAGATTTTTTGTTTTTGTTTTTGTGCCTGTACTGCCTGAACTCAGAACCTGGGCACTGTCCCTTAGCTTTTTTGTTCAAGGATGGCACTCTACCACTTGAACCTCACCTCCATTTCCAGCTTTTTGGTGATTAATTAGAGATAAGAGTCTCATGGACTTTCCTACCTAGCCAGCTTTGAACCATGACCTTCAGTTTTCAGTCTCTTGAATAGCTAGGATTTCAGGTGTGAGCCACCAGCACCAGGCATACAAACTTCTTTCACTTAAGAAATCATTGTAGGGCTGGAAATGTGGCTCAGTGTGGTAGAGTGCTGGGTTTGATTCCTCAGTACCACATAAACAGAAAAAGCTAGAAGTGGCGCCATGGCACAATCAGGGATAGCACCCAGACCCAGAGTTCAAGCCCCATGGCCAGAAAAAAAAAAGAAATCATTGTAAAGAGAATGGTTACAAATGTTTTTGTTATTGTTATTGTTTTTATTGATTGTAAAGGATTTGTGCTAATTCCATCATTTGCCTCTGTACTCCCTAGTTTCTTATATAAATGTGCTATGTTTGATTAGTTATGAACAGAAAGCCAGATTGTAGAATGTAAAAGAGCATTTGGACTGAGAGGCTTGGTGGATGGACCCTCTGCAGAGGCTGGATATCATCTCCATAAACATTGCTCTACAAACAGACTTATTGCTCTGCATCTGAAGTATGGATTTAAGAAAACTCTCTTAGCTATTGACTAAGAGACTACTTAACAATGAAGAAAGGGTACAGCAATGCTATATTCTTTTTTGTCTTCAAGAATTAAAACCTTGGGCTGGGAAGGTGGCTCAGTGGTAGAGCGCTTGCCTTGCATGCCTGAGGCCCTGGGTTTGATTCCTCAGC